CTACACATCACTACACTTCAATACACTTCACTACACATCAATACACTTCACTACACATCAATACACTTCACTACACATCAATACACATCAATACATCATACACATCAATACACATCAATACCATCAATACAACATCACTAAACACATCAATACACTTCAATACACTTCAATACACTTCAATACACTTCAATACACTTCAATACACTTCAATACACTTCAATACACTTCAATACACTTCAATACACTTCAATACACTTCAATACACTTCAATACACTTCAATACACGTCAATACACGTCAATACACGTCAATACACGTCAATACACGTCAATACACTTCAATACACATCAATACACTTCAATACACATCAATACACGTCAATACACATCAATACACGTCAATACACGTCAATACACATCAATACACGTCAATACACTTCAATACACTTCAATACACATCAATACACTTCAATACACATCAATACACATCAATACACATCAATACACATCAATACACATCAATACACATCAATACACATCAATACACTTCAATACACATCAATACACTTCAATCCACATCAATACACTTCAATCCACATCAATACACATCAATACACATCAATACACTTCAATACACATCAATACACTTCAATACACATCAATACACATCAATACACATCAATACACATCAATACACTTCAATACACATCAATACACATCAAGACACATCAATACACATCAAGACACATCAATACACTTCAAGACACATCAATACACTTCAATACACATCAATACACATCAATACACATCAATACACATCAATACACTTCAATACACATCAATACACATCAATACACATCATACACACTAAATACACATCACACACATCATACATCATAACAACATCAATACACATCACTACACAATCAATACACATCAATACACTTCAATACACATCAATACACTTCAATACACATCAATACACTTCAATACACATCAATACACATCAATACACATCAATACACTTCAATACACATCAATACACATCAATACACATCAATTCACATCAATACACATCAATACACATCAATACACATCAATACACATCAATACACATCAATACACCTCAATACACCTCAATACACATCAATACACATCAATACACATCAATACACATCAATACACATCAATACACATCAATACACATCAATACACCTCAATACACCTCAATACACCTCAATACACCTCAATACACCTCAATACACCTCAATACACCTCAATACACCTCAATACACCTCAATACACCTCAATACACCTCAATACACCTCAATACACCTCAATACACATCAATACACATCAATACACATCAATACACATCATAACACATCAATACACATCAATACACTCAATACACATCAATACCATCAATACACATCATAACACATCATACACATCAATACCATCAATACAACCCATCAAGACACATCATACACTCAAGAACACATCAATACACATCAACACACATCAATACACTTCAATACACTTCAATACACTTCAATACACTTCAATACACATCAATACACTTCAATACACATCAATACACATCAATACACATCAATACACATCAATACACATCAATACACATCAATACACATCAATACACATCAATACACATCAATCCACATCAATACACATCAATACACATCAATGCACATCAATACACATCAATGCACATCAATACACATCAATACACATCAATACACATCAATGCACATCAATACACATCAATACACATCAATACACATCAATACACATCAATACACATCAATACACATCAATACACATCAATAAACATCAATACACATCAATACACATCAATACACATCAATACACATCAATACACATCAATACACATCAATACACATCAATACACATCAATACACATCAATACACCTCAATACACATCAATACACATCAATACACCTCAATACACATCAATACACCTCAATACACCTCAATACACATCAATACACATCAATACACCTCAATACACCTCAATACACATCAATACACATCAATACACATCAATACACCTCAATACACCTCAATACACATCAATACACATCAATACACATCAATACACATCAATACACCTCAATACACCTCAATACACAGCAATACACCTCAATACACAGCAATACACCTCAATACACATCAATACACATCAATACACATCAATACACCTCAATACACATCAATACACATCAATACACATCAATACACCTCAATACACCTCAATACACCTCAATACACCTCAATACACATCAATACACCTCAATACACCTCAATACACCTCAATACACCTCAATACACATCAATACACCTCAATACACATCAATACACATCAATACACATCAATACACCTCAATACACATCAATACACCTCAATACACATCAATACACATCAATACACATCAATACACATCAATACACATCAATACACATCAATACACATCAATACACATCATTACACGTCAATACACGTCAATACACATCAATACACATCAATACGCATCAGTACACCTCAATACACCTCAATACACATCAATACGCATCAATACACATCAATACACATCAATACACATCGATACACATCAATACACATCGATACACCTCAATACACATCAATACACCTCAATACACCTCAATACACCTCAATACACCTCAATACACATCGATACACCTCAATACACCTCAATACACCTCAATACACATCAATACACCTCAATACACATCAATACACATCAATACACATCAATACACATCGATACACATCAATACACATCAATACACATCAATACACATCAATACACATCAAACACATCATAATACGCCATCATACACCCAATACACCGCCTACCATCAAACACTCGATACACATCAATACAACTCAATACGCCAGCATAACATCATAACTCATACACATCAATCCACATCAATACACATCAATACACATCAATACACTTCAATACACATCAATACACATCAATACACATCAATACACATCAATACACTTCAATACACATCAATACACATCAATTCACATCAATACACTTCAATACACATCAATACACATCAATACACTTCAATACACATCAATACACTTCAATACACTTCAATACACTTCAATACACTTCAATACACATCAATACACATCAATACACATCAATACACATCAATACACATCAATACACATCAATACACATCAATACGCATCAATACACATCAATACGCATCAATACACATCAATACGCATCAATACACATCAATACACATCAATACACATCAATACACATCAATACACCTCAATACACATCAATACACCTCAATACACCTCAATACACATCAATACACCTCAATACACATCAATACACATCAATACACATCAATACACATCAATACACATCAATACACACATCGATACACAGCAATACACATCAATACACAGCAATACACATCAATACACATCGATACACATCAATACACATCGATACACATCAATACACATCAATACACACATCGATACACATCGATACACATCAACACACATCGATACACATCAACACACATCAATACACATCAATACACATCAATACACAGCAATACACAGCAATACACATCGATACACAGCAATACACATCGATACACATCAATACACATCGATACACAGCAATCACATCAATACACAGCACAATCAATACACATCCACATCAATACACATCGCACATCAATACACATCAATACACCTCAATACACATCAATACACATCAATACACATCAATACACATCAATACACATCAATACACATCAATACACATCAATACACATCAATACACTTCAATACACTTCAATACACTTCAGTACACTTCAATACACTTCAGTACACTTCAATACACGTCAATACACTTCAATACACTTCAGTACACCTACACCACACTCGACACATCAATACACATCAATACACATCAATACACATCAATACACATCAATACACATACACATCACACAGCGATACACATCACACATCAATACACATCAATACACATCAATACACATCAATACACATCAATACACATCAATACACAGCAATACACATCAATACACATCAATACACATCAATACACATCAATACACTTCAATACACATCAATACACATCAATACACATCAATACACAGCAATACACATCAATACACATCAACACATACACATCAATACACATCAATACACATCAATACACATCAATACACATCAAATACACATCAATACACATCAATACACATCAATACACATCAATACACATCAATACACATCAATACACATCAATACACATCAATACACATCAATACACATCAATACACATCAATACACATCAATACACATCAATACACATCAATACACCAATCAATACACATCAATACACAGCGATACACATCGATACACATCAATACACATCAATACACATCAATACACATCAATACACATCAATACACATCAATACACAGCAATACACATCAATACACATCAATACACATCAATACACATCAATACACAGCAATACACCTCAATACACATCAATACACATCAATACACATCAATACACAGCAATACACATCAATACACATCGAACACATCAATACACATCAATACACATCAATACACATCAATACACATCAATACACAGCAATACACCTCAATACACATCAATACACATCAATACACATCAATACACATCAATACACATCAATACACATCAATACACATCAATACACATCAATACACATCAATACACATCAATACACATCAATACACATCAATACACAGCAATACACCTCAATACACATCAATACACATCAATACACATCAATACACCATTTTTGGGTCTCCGTTGTGGCCTCTGCGGCCCTTCCGGTGCCCTCCCGGGGCGGCCCGTGGCCCCCCGAGGCGGCAACGACATCCTCGAGGCGGCCATCCGCGGTCACCTCGGGGGGGTCCGGCACCTGCTGCGGACGGTGCCCGGCGCCGTGGCCGCGACGGACGGCGGCGGCGACACCGCGCTGCACTGGGCGGCGACCGAAGGCTACGTGGAGATCTGCCGGGTGCTGCTGGCGGCGGGGGCCGAGGTCGACGCCAGGAACAACCACAGCCTCTCGGCCCTGAAGAGATGGATATACACGGTGCTTTGGGGAGATTTCAGGGTGCCAAAAAAAATCGAATTCAAGATGTGAATGAAATGTAAAACTTTGGGCGGTTTTGGTGGGTTTGGTAGGTTTTGAGGCTTCAGCAGTTTCCAGTTGAAATGATGTAGATAAAACAACCACATGACACGGACAGAATTTGAACACAAGATATCACACGATTGCAACAACAGTAATTTCAATAATGAAAAAAATTGAACTTGGGGGTATTTAGGGCTCCTGATGGAGCCTTAGATGTGCAGCTTCTCGGATATTTTCGGCGTTCATAAACTTTTCACAATCTTCGGTGTCTTCGCTTCGCTTTGCGTCAGAAGGACATTTCTGGGAGCAGTCGCTCGCCCGAGGTCGCACCCCGCTGCACTATGCGGCGTACTGGGGCCAAGTGGAGGCGGTGAAGCTGCTCGTCGAGGCGAAAGCTTCGGTGACTGTGAAAGACAACGAAGGCCGGGGGCCTCGGCTGGGAGATGTGATGTGCTTTTGATGGTTTTCGTTTACTTCTCCTATTATATCTGATTACTAGTTATTACTTTATGGCGGCCGTTTTGTTTGTTGAATGTTGAAACTTCCCATGGTGAGGCGATGATCAAGGGGTTTTAGGGTCCTCAGGCATTAGGCTTCTTTAGCTCAAGGTGATTGGAGATGCGCAGACAAAATACGCGTTCAGAAAGGCATTCTCGACATCCTAAAGACATAGCATTGCTTGAGACAATGGAAGCAGCATTAGAAGACACCGCCGATGCAAGTGGATGTAGAGATGCATAATGATCGATGTATCTATGAATATGCACAACGCACATCCAGCCTCCACATGTGACATACGTTGCGTGAAAATGATGAGCATACATCCTGTCTTTGTTCGTGATATCATATAGTGATATCTGTCAAGACGTCTCGCCAGAGCCCAAATCTACACAATTGAACGAACAATCTCTCTGCTGGTTGGAAATGTATGGACAACCACTGAGCTGGTTTTTCTCATTGCAATTCCCAGCACTTCTGGACATTTCACTAGCACAGGAACCGTCCATTGATATTGTGTGGGTTGGCTGGCATTTCACTTGAAAACGGCTGGCTCGGGAATACCTTGATGACGTGCTCCGAAAAAACAGAGAAGCGACAAGTTGGTCTTGGATAGATTGATTTGGCACTGAGTCAATTGAGCTTCCTTTCATTTCCAGTTGAACTGTGTCATGTGTTGGGGGTTTCTAATTTAAAGGTCTCCTTCAACTTTGAATGCAAGAACATGATGCCCAAGTGATGTGAAACTGCACACTACTTCATTACACAATTTTCAGCACAGTCTACAAAAGTCACCATGAAAGTTAATGGCAACCTCTGGACTCTGGGCCCTTGTCTCGGGGGAGATGGAACTTCAGTCCAATCAACATGGGGCGTGAATAGCCTTTGGAGCAACTTGTATTGGCGTGAAGAATGAAACAGGATTTTTTTTGTATCTCATGAACTTGATACATGGATATGTATATTAAATATTATCTTAGTACTTTCTTCAATATGGCTCTTGAAGTTACAGCAAGACAACTCATGTGATGCGGGAAGCAGCGTCACATGGGTCTTGGTCCCAGCACTCAGGCAACACTCCGTTGGACGATGCAAGAAACCAAGGCCACGACGAGATTGTAACAATGTTGGAGCACGCAGAATCTTGGCTGCACAAATGTGTCAATGGGAGCAGTTCAGTTGGTGCAGCCTTTTTAGCCACGGATGTCAATCGCGCCCTTGTGCCACTGGAGGCCTGAAGCTACAATGAAAATTGGCATTGAACGGCTCCGCAATTGTGTGATCTTCTGGATTGATGTTGATGTTGGGCCTGTCAACCCTTCCATGTTTCACACACGCAGAATGGGTACCAAAATGCACAAAACTGTGTATGAACGCAATGCGAAAACCACAGTGCGTAGAGGTGACTGTCTTGCAAGAGTTTGCGCAATGGACAGTTGACGATGTACAAGTTGCTGGTCTTCTCTGGGCTGTTCAGACACGTTTCGACATTAGACACCACACACCTTTGGCCTCCCTTGGGGTTTTCCTTCCAGCCATTTTGTTTCCTCAAGAGGCTGGAGTCACATGATTTCACAAGTTGTTGCCACCACATGCCATTGGAGAATGTTGCGCAACCATGCGGCAGCCACATGATTATCATGATCACACATATTTGTCATTCCCAGTTAAACTTGGTCAAGCTTATATCAAGCTTAGCTGCAGTCCCATTCCAAGTGCTGCATGGCTGCGCGAATGGCTCCAACATTTTCAGGCTGCTAGCAGGCTTGCCGTGGCCGACACATGAAGATGATTTAGGTTCCAGCACGGCTTGAAGTCTCAATAGCCGGGCAAAGGGATGGACAAGTAATTTTCGTCCCCATAAACGTCGTAATGAGTTGCCAGTTTGGCTTGACTTTCAAAGTTTGCAGGAAAAAATCTGACTGTCCGAATTCTGACTGTCAGAAGATGTCAGCACAAATCATTGTCATATCATCATCTCGTCGCCGACCAGCCTTTCAAGGTGATGCCTTGGTGAGGAATGCCTGCGGCGGGATTTGCGACGAATCTGGATGAACGTATCCCTGGTTCAAAAAAGGACAAAGGGGTCAATGAGGAAAATATTGAGATGACATGAGATGACTAAAAAGAGAGATTTGGTGCGATGTTTGGCTCTAGCTATTCTATATCACGTGCTGCGATGAAAGATTCTGGTGCCATCTCCGAGTCAGCTAGTCCTACCCAGTCTGCGCATGTCTGCGCGAAGTACTTTGCAGTGGGAAAAAAGGAAGCTTTCAAATGTCTTGCTACGCATCGTCTTTCAGAGATACAGATCAGAGGCCGAAATGACATTGACCCTCTTGACCAGTGAAGGGATGCAAAAAAAACATAGACAATTTGATTTGTCCTTGTCGTGCTTGTCGTGAATCCGACCATTTTTCAGCTGAAGTTGGGGGATCCACCGCGGTGCGGCTGTTCCAATGGGTTTAAAGCTCAAAGCTGACAGATCTGACAGGACCGAGGAGTTCCTGGAAGGCTGATTTCTGAACTAAGGTGCTGGGGCGGGAAGCATTGCCAATTCCAAGGTTTTGGTGGGAGCCTCAAATTTTATATCTCCACATTCAGAGGGAAAAAACACCGTTGGAGTCCATGCGGCATCTCCATTTTCTGGCCATAAGATGCTTCGAAACATCGCCATGTTCAGCCAAGCCTTGCTGCTGTTGCCACAACCTGAGGAGAATGATGCGCCCACCTCCAACTCCAGTAGCGCCTTGGCGTTGAACTGCTGGGCTGTGACCTGTCCTTGAACTTGTCAAGCTGCAGGCAGCAAGCCGTCCGTCCCGTCCGTCGGCCACTGAGGACCCAAGCAGATCTTTGAGAAATGTTGATTTTGTTGATAATAACTGCTCATAACTGATCCATAACTGAGGATTAGAATACGTTAGAACATTTTGGAACATCTTGGAACTGAGGCAAGACTGTCACCACAGCTGCCACAGAGGCCTGGCGGCCTTAGCATCATGAGAAACATCACTGGGTGGAAGCGGAACGTCCCTTTCTGTGTCAGGGTGACCTCTCGAACCGTGTGGAGTTTTTGGAGAAATTGATCCAGCAACAGGCCGCAGATGGGCACTAAACACATCCCAACAGCTTCCCAAAGGTGATGTATGTCATGTTTGGGTGCAGATATTTTGAGCAAAACGAGCGAAAAAGATGAGGTTGTTGGCTACTGGATGGAGTCAAAGATATAGTAATCTAAGGTTTGTGTGATGTCATTACAGCATTTCATCGTAATCCGCCTTTTTCCATCTTTTTTTCCTAGGCTCTACAGCTGCAGCAGATGGCAAAGGTTGGAGGGTACAGGATGGTTTGGACATGGCTGGAACCCATGTGTCACAAAGAATGTCAGGAAATATTTCGGAAATATGTAGCAAAAAGTGTTCGTCTTAGAAAACGGATAGCTCTAGCATGTTGTAGCCCATTGCGAAAATTGACCGTTAGTTCCATGATGGAAATTGCAAAGAGCCCAGAAGGTGAAAAATGCCACCGGCCGCTTCCGTATCAGCTTTTGTCGGTCAAGGTTTTGTCAAGAAAGGATGGACAGATCAACCGTGGGATCAAAAAAGATGAAAAAAGATGAAAAAAAAATATTTTTTTTGGAAAAAAATACTATTGGTTTCTTCCTGTTTGGTTTTTTTTCGACGACAGGCCCTGGAAGGCGTTCAGAAGGACGTGCGGCGCACTGTGTCTGTGATGCAGTACAACATTTTGGCCTCGTGAGCCACGGGGATTACACCACATATGCTGCAGTAAAGTGCTTTTGGATGGTGTGTTAAACTGGACAGCATAGATACAGACATATTTGTGTGTGATTGTATATAATGAAGAAATGATGAGTATGTACCTCTATAATTACATTACATATTTGACATATTTTGACATGTTCATGTTTCTATTGTATCACATGTTTATGAGGATTTTCAGTGCCCAGATTGGATAGGTACCTGGGCAAAAACACAGCCGTGGTTTCTCTACGGGGCAGAGATTGAGCCAGAGGCGCTCCCAGCGCTCCAGCACGACACCAACCCAACCGATCCAACCGACCTAACCTCAATTTGGTAAAGTTGTTTCAACATGTTGAGAGCACAAAAATGGTGGATATGATTGGATATGACTTATTCTTGGATTATGTTTAGATTAAGTGTGCTGGGATAATCATCTTATTTGTTGATTGGCTAAGCTGAAACAGCCAGTGAAGGTGCTGATCTTGGGTGTAGCACCTTGCATCCCCCTATAGAACAGACGCTTACCTTCTTGGATATATCACCATGGCAGGGTAGACGGCCCACAGGAAATGTGCCACAAATTCTCATTCACTCTCGATCAAGGGCAAAATGCTGAAGTCACAAGGTTGGCTGCTTGGCAGGCGCGGGAAAAGATTTTTAAGCTCTTCAATCAACGGGGGCCAGATGGTACGTGCAGTACTCAACTGCCAGACACAGCAAGCTCGCAAGGGAATTTCACACAGCAGCAACATGTTTTGGAGACCAGATAAACATCCTGAAAGGTCATTTGTAGCTCATTGGTAGACACTCTCTAGGATCATTTTATATCATTTTGTTTTCTTGCTTTGAGGCCCAAACACAAGTGGCCGGAATATGTTGAAGGCGAGCTCACACCAAGCAGTGCGCACGGTTTTGGTTGCTTTGGATCGAAGACCCACAACATTTTACATATTTTAAGACATTTCACGAGCCAGGCATCTTGTCTCCGGAGCAAATCCAAGAGGTGGAAACGCAAGATGCCTTCTTTAGGCCCTTTGCCGCGTGACTTACCATTCCTTCAAAACAAGCTGAGCTGGGACAGGTGGGAGTCGCGGAGAGAGAAACTGGTGAACCAAATCGTGGACTTGGACCCCGACGTCGTGTCGCTGGTGACCCTTGGGATCAGGATGGGGCCTTTGTGATCTCCATGAGCCAACTTTGGTCTCAGGTTGAGTTGGATGATCATGCCTTTTTCGGGCAGAGCCTCGAGGGCGAGTGGGACCCGGATTTCGTTTCTCTGCCACGCTGCCACATTTCGTGTCCAGCCCTATGGCAATCCCATGGCCATCCCAGGACCATCCTGCCCCGTCAGGACTCAGTGTTCCGCAAGCGCCCGCGTGCCAACAGCGCGGACGGCTGCGGGATCTTCTGGCGGCGTAGTAAGTTCGAGCTGGTGGCCAGTGAGGCAAGAGCCAAGTTGAGAAAGCCAAACAAAAAACACAAAAAACACAAAAATTCAAGGAGATTCAGAGATTCATGATGAATTTCGATGAATTTCATGATCTGAGTTTTAGCTGCTTCGCTGTTTGGCCGGCAGGGATTCGACATGATCGACGGCAATGATGTGAGCTGCCCATGTTTTGTCCCTGTCCTCCGTCAGTGGGAGAATCACCAACCATGGGATCTTAGTGGTTTTCCCATCGTTTGACACGACCAATCCAGACTCCCTGGTTCCCTCGAGCTTAAATGTTCCGTTGCCAGGATAAAGGACGCGAGAAAAGAGACAGAAGCTGCCTCATGGTGCCATGGTTGGAGATGTCTCCTGTCGTAGGGATCCGTAGGGTAGTAATACCCCTCATGGTCCCCCAATTTGTGAATTTACAAATTCTACTCAACCAGGAATTGCTTTGGTAATCTTTGGTATTAGTATATCTTGGATCTTGGATATCTTGGGAAGGGATTTGTTCAATTCATAACAGGCACCGGCACCGCCCAGGTCTTGTTGAAGTGGAAGACAGCGGGAAACAACGTGGCGCCACTGGTGGTGGTCTCCACACACTTGGCCAAGGATTGGAAAACTGGAAAAAAATGACATAAAAAGATGTTGGTAAAGCATATGTAAACCATCCTAAGATTTTTCATAGATTTATGGGTGGGGTGGAATTGTCGCTTCACAGCTGTAAAACAGCGATGCCACACAGAAACCGCAACATTTCAGATGATTTTCTGGAAGGATCCCTGTCTTGAAAAGGACCGCGATGATGCGGCGGTGATGCAAAGCTCTCCTTGGAATGAGCAGGCTCAGCTTCAAAGGATTCCAACCCTTCCTGTGAGCTTTGTTTCGAGATGTCCGCGCACCTAGCAGTTCATTTGCACGGCTTCAATTATTTTGGAATGGTGGCCATGAGCAAGATGGTGTTGTCCAAGACCCTAACATTTGAAATAGCGGATTACCAGGCTCTGTTGGTCAACTGTCAACTATCCATACACAGCATTCTCAATCGCTATGAGAGCTGCGTTGTTCATTGATGTTGACACATTTTGAAACGCTGAAACTCGTTGGTGTAGGTCTTGCAGATGCTTGAAGATCTTACCAGCCTTGTGGACTTCAAGATTCTTCGCAAGAGGCCTTGTGCTGTGTTGTTTTCCCACTAGAGAGTCGTCTTCTCCTTTTCTTTTCGGTTTCTGTTTTATAAACATATATTATTCCTGCCGTTTTTTTTTGCAATGTTTTAGCATAATTTTTCTTAGAGTCACTTTCCAACCACAATTTTTGTAGCATCAGCTGGGGCCCAGCGCATTGTTGCTGAGTATTTGTTTTTCAAAACATCCAGTGAAAATGGCAGACCGATCTAACTTGTGTACTCCAAGACTTGCACAAGAAGCGGACAAAACATGGCTACATAATTCTAACTTACCACTGATAGTGAAACACACACGGCCAAAGGTGTTCAGCCCAAAGGTTCCGGGGCTTAAGGTTTCAATCCTGAAGGTTCCAAGCATTGACAACCCGATGCCACCCCCAAGAAATCTCTCCAACGTTTCAAGAGTCCCCGGCAAACTTGAGGGGTTCGAAGGGTTCGAAGGGTTCGAAGGGTTCGAAGGGTTCGAAGGGTTCGAAGGGTTCGAAGGGTTCGAAGGGTTCGAAGGGTTCGAAGGGTTCGAAGGGTTCCAAAGTCATTGGTTTCGGACCTCATGGCCAGGCCAATTCGTCGTGGCAATGTGCCGAGCGCAAGATGAAGGCGGGCAGAATCGGACAAGCTGCGCAGATCTCATTCTGTATTTTCGGATCTTGCATTCCATTCCTGGTGGGTTTCAATTTTGTTTGCATATTTCTCTGCTTTCACTTGTTCATCTTGAAGTGATCATCAAACTCGTTCTCAGGCCCAACGGCTGGTGGCTGCAACCCCCAGGTTCAAAGCAAGGAAGGTGCCGACATCTGCATATTTCTTCGAGAGTTTCGATCGGGTGACCGGTTTTGATTCGGTTTTGATTCAGTTTTGATTGTGTGTTTTGTGGAGAGGCTCTGCTGAACCTTGCCGTTCTGAGTCCAACAAATGCCATGACTTTGTCATCTCTTGCGAAGCAATTTCTTGCTCCAATTTTTCCCCAACATTTTTCATCCGTCTGTGCTCCAGCATCAACTTGCATCCATGGGGCAGCCAACTTCGAAGCAGGGAGTCCAAGATGTTGTGAAGGCGAAGACAACTCCAAGTGGCGAGATCATTTTGATCTCTTCGCACAGTTTCCAGACTTTGATTGGAAGCATCAAATCGCTGGAAGAGATCGCAAAGTGGGTGGACGATGATGGGCTATCCCAGCTGGGAACTCAGTCGAGACTGCGTTGCACCGGCTCCAAGTTTCGCAGGGGCATCTATGCGACGACCCCTGAGATGCTCCACAGCAAGCTGCGAATGGTTCCCGAGCCAAAGCCGCCAGGTGCTCCGCTTCTGGTCTTGCTTGCGCCTGGCAATGGCTGTCAGTCTGCAGGTATGCTGAAGCCAAGCTTGGAAGCAATTCCAGCAGCCAGGCAGATCTTTGAGGAGATAATGTTGGCTTTCCAGTCCAGCACGTCGATTGACTGGTCATTGCTGGTTGGTTGTCAGGATCCATCGACATTGTCCACTTTTGATCAGCAAGCGCTCTTGTTTGCCCATTCCATGGTGATGTCCAACCTGATGGCGAAACTCGGCTTGAAACCGGATGCTGTGCTGGGCCATAGCGCAGGGGAACTGACTTGTGCTTGTGCCTCTGGAGCCCTTGACATTGCCCACAGCTGCCGGCTGTTTTTGGCCAAGGTGAGCAGTATGGATGCCATGACATCTACAGATGCGGAGGGATCTATGGCAGTGACCAACTTTGGAGCAGAAATTTTCGAGGTATTGGAGTCCTTCAACGCGCATCTGCCTGAGGAGGAAAAGGTGCTAGTCGCAGCTGACAACAGCAGCAGCTGTTGCACTTTGACTGGTCTCAAGGCATCGTTGTCCAAGCTCAAAGCGTCCCTTCCAGAAGAGCTCAAGGCGTCTTGGAAGGATATGGGATTACCCCGTGCCTATCACCATCGGGAACTTTGCAAAGGAGCTGCTGAGCATTTCGAACAGCAGTACTGCGAGGAAGTTCCTCGCGAATTGTCCAGTCGGTTCTTCTCCACGGTGACGGGCAAAGAGCTGTCAGCTGCTGAGCTGACGAAAGACTACTGGAAGAGGCACACCCTTGAGCCAGTGAGGTTCCGTGAGGCGACAGCGGAAGTGCTGAAAGCATTGCGGGGTGATTCAGACCGACCAATTGTTTTTGTGGAGCTGAAAGCACAGAACCAACGTCACATCCTGCAGGCAGCCCAAGATCTTGGCATGAACCAGGTGCATTATCAATCCTTGACCCGAAAAGAGGATGAGGTAGAGAATTTTTGTGAAGCTGTTGCCAAGCTTTGGGAATGGGGTTTGTCGGTTGAATGTGGTGAAGTGTTCCCAGCTCGGAAGTTCACATCTCGCCATGACTTGAAGCATGAGCCCCGCACTCATTTCTGCCGTCAGCCTGCCTTTCAGCCACTTCCTACGGCACCAGGGATTGCCAGCCCTGCTTCGAGCCAGAAGTCCTTGGCGAATTCAAAGTCTGAATCGATGGACAGCACTGCAACTGTTTGGAGCAAAGAGCTGAGTCATCCCATTTTGAAGCAGCATTTGTTCAGTGGAAAGGAACTTGTTCCTGCAGCATTGATTCTTGTTGCTCTGGTGGATGCTGGGTATTCGGACCTGCAGCTCAAATTCATGACGTCTTGCTATGCACATGGGGGGTCTGCTCAAGTTATCTTGCAAGTTTTGGATGGACACATCACTGTGAAGAGCCCAGACCAGCAGAATCACTATTGTGAAGGGATGGTGAACCCTGCCTGTATTGCCCCAGCTGCAGAATACTGGGTGGAAAAGTGGAAGGAGTTGGGCTCATCCGACTTGCAGACACAGCGCAGCAAGCAGCTTCTTTCGCCTCTGAAAAAAACTTTGTCCGGGCTGAGATTCAGACCACCTGCGTCTCATATGGAAGAAGTGGACTGTAAGGATCTGCAATCACTGCTGCAGAGTGGCGGTCTTTTCTTTGGCAGAGACTTGAGACTGTCTGGGAAGGTCCTTGTTGAGAACAATCAGGGGCTGAAGTCGTCTTTCGGATTGGCTCGTGTCCAATATGCTGAGAAACTCCAGGACTACAGTCCTGTGCTGATCGATCAAGCCATCCAGGTTAGCCTGGCATTGTGCCTTCATCAACTGTCTGAAGTTGAACGGGCGAAAGGTGCAGTGCCCATTCAGGTGGAGAAGTTCAGTGTCTTCCGACCCCAAATCTTGGTTCGATATGACTGGCTCCATTGTGTGGTGGAAGTGAAGCCGAAGGTCATTGATTCGGCCATTTGTGCATCCTTCGCGCTGATTGCATTCGGATGGGACGCTGGTGGCTATGGCTCACAACCTATGGGGAAAGCTTCAATCTTCCAAGGCTGTGCCTTTGCAGGAGCTCATGTGGCAGATTCGGCCCACTGCTCTTCCACCAGCAGAGCCGGTGAAGCAGAAGAAGTTCCTGGCCTTCTGCGAAGATTCGATCGATTCCATCATGGCCCAGCTCATGAAGAAGAATCAGGTGGCGCCAGCTGATGTGATCATCATAGGTGCAGAGGAGCAGCACGAGTCGGTCAGCCTTTCCATTACTCAAACCCTGCAGAGGACAGGCACTTTTCTGGAGAAAATTGATGCCTTCATCTTCGAGTGGACCAGTGGAGTGGACGTAGACCGGCTAGGTGAGCGCGAGGTCGAGGCAGCAGATAGGAAGATCAGGAGACAGTGCGCTGCCTTCCGGGAGCTCATTATCTTTGTCAGCACTGCTTCCCATCCGAAAGACATCTTGGTGATCACCAAGGGCAGCCCTCAGTTTGCCGAGCAGAAATCAGAGGTGAACCATCCTGGCCCTGGGATGTTTATGGCGATGACCAAGTCTTTGGTGAATGAGGGTCAGCCTGGCAAGGGCCTTCTGCATTGTATCGAACTAGCTGACACCACAGCTGCCAGTATCGAAACCTTGGCGAAGGAAATCACCAACCCCCGAGCAAACACTTCGGAGATCAGGATTTGTGATGGCCAAGCACAGCGACTGGAATTGTTGCCAGAGCTGGTTTCCTATGATTCCCTCCTTCGCGGAAACTGCCTGCGCCTTGGCGTGAAATTTGGGATGTCATGTATTGTGAAGCGTTTTCAATACAAAAAATAGTTTCTTTTTTCGCAATAAGAAACTCAAGCATCGCGAGTATGAGTCTACTGTATGGGGACGTGGCCCTTGTCAAATGTTTTTAGCATTTTTAGCCAGCTATCATCATTGTGTGTGATGTCGGAAAGCCTCAACGTATTTTTGCCTTCCTCCGTCTTTGGTGAACTGGGTTTGCTCTGATCACATCTTTGAACATCTTTCTGCTACCACCTCCTGATTCAGCCCTCCACTCCAGCCTATCTTCACGTTTGCTGAGGAAAAAGGCCTCAACCGCCTCAACCTCAACCTATGTCATTTTGGGTGGATTGAAAGGAGAGTCACTCTCTGCCCTGTTGCTGCAATTCTTGGCCCAGCGACGACATGGTGACAACATTGTGGTGGTGGGCCGAAGTGGTCCCGATGAGGCCTTCAAAATCTTGCAAAAGAAGGTGGTGAAGGAATTTGATGTCCGGGTGATTCCCATCCAGGCAGATATCACCAAGCCCAACTCCTTAGCCTTGGCTTTGGAGAAGTTTGGCATCAGGAGCAAAGATGTGAAAGGAGTACTGCATGGAGCTGCCTGTTTTGATGGCGATCGCATGATCCACAAGGTGACAGACGAACAGTTTGAGAAGACCCTTGCACCAAAGGTTCGCGGTAGTCTGGAGATCGTGGCCACGTCCCAACGGGAGGAGTGGTCATTGGATTTCATGTGGTACATGTCGTCCGTGGTTGTCAGCCTTGGCAACTACGGCCAGGTGGCATATGGAGGACGGCCCCACATATGTCGCAGCATCTTCATCAATCTGTTCATATAAGATGCAGATTCATGACGGCTAGTCAGCTAGTCTGCCATGTTGCTCTTAAATTCTTGAGGGTCCATCTTAGTTGATTTTTTTCTGAATGTTCATTGTTATTGATTTTGGCATGACTATCATTCAGTACACAACTTTGTGGAAGTGACATGACTCAATCATGCAATGCTCAATCTTGCGTCTTAGCGCGGTGCCGACCAATTGAGCTCATCTAGCTGATCCCTGAAGGAGGCAATGGGTTCCAGGCCGACCTGGGGGTGTGGCAGTCGTGGCAGAACAAGACCAAGGTGCAGGTGATCAATTTCACGGTCCTTGATGATGTCTGGCCCCCAGACATGCATGATCAGCCATGTGTGTTGTTATGCAGCAGCTGTCGTCTGGTATTGTTATCTCATGTTATTTCATGTTATTTCATGTTGTTTCCTTTTGTGTCTTTTTGTTGCATTGCTTATGGTATGGTTGTGGCATGTTGTGCCTGTGTGTTTATGACGGCCTTTTTCTTGGCAGGTGGGTGTCATGCACGGGCAGCAGAAGATGCAGAAGAACCTGGATGAGACCCGAGGATTCCCGGCCATCAACAAGGCCACCATTTACCAGGCACTTGACGCCACGATGCGTTTGGGTTTGCCCATGGTCACCGTGGCCACCTTTGACCGCCAGAAGTTGGCCACCTTGGCGTTGGCCAACGACCCCTGCGTGGCGAGCCGCTTCCACACGGTGATGGCCAGGTTCACCGGAGCTTGGGCGCCCTCCACGGCCACGTCCGCCACGTCCGCCACGTCTGCAGCGCCGAGCTCGGCAGCGAGTTCCGCCGAGTCCGTGGCATCCGTGGCATCCGTGGCATCTGCGGCGCCGGTCATGGCGGTTGCTCCAGCCTCGGAGCCAACAGCATCGGTAGCCCCGGCTGTGGCTCCGGCAACTCCAGCAGCTTCCGTGGCGGAAAAGTTTCTTGGAAAGATCAAAGATGTCATGGGGGTGACAGAGCTGGACATGACCAAGTCCTTGGAGAGCCAGGGCATGGATTCCATGACTGCGATCGAATGCCGACAGCAATTGAAGGATTCGTTGTCAGTGGATGTGGAGCTATTGGAGCTTAGTGAGAGGCCCCTGTCAGACGTGTTGAAGAAAGTTGGCTTTTAAGATTTTCAAGAGTGCTTGACATCGCCTTGCGTGGCACGACCCCGCGGGCAAATTCAATACGTGGCCTGAGCTGAGCTGTGCAGAGGGGTCCCGAAGATTTTTTTTGCGATAGATTTATAGACTCAGATTGTCAGCAATTCTTGGCCAACCGTTTCCAGTGTGCTGTGCTCTGCCTCTTTGCTCTGCCTGTTTAACAAGGTGAACGAACGTACTGCCAAGCAATCGTACACCTGCAGGTTTTACATTTTTGCTTTTCGAGTTTCTCTGCTCTTTTTGTCGGTAGCCGCTGATCATTTTTCCAACAGTTTTGCAGCTTGGAACTGCATGCCGCAGTACATCACAACGTGCAGACTCAGTCCATGATCAGAAATGAACCAATTCACCCTCCGGGTCTCTCCGGGTAGTCTTTCCTGCGCCCGTATGCGAGAGAGGCAAAATGAATCAAAATGAGGCAAAAGTCTTCATTCATGATGTGGCGTCTCGTCGCAAAAGATTCTTCCAGCTTTGCATTACATTCTGGTAATCAAGCGTGGCCACGAAAATTTCCCTATTTATTATTTGGATGATTTTATCTTTTAAAGCTCTATTTATCGAGGATTTCCCAGCCACGTTTGATTACCAGAGGTTAGCCCAATGAACCCAGTCGGTGACTGTGGTCTATCACCTTGCTTTGCTGCATCGAAGAGACGATAAAGTGCCAGTTTGGGGTGCTCAGGGCCTTGATCTCCATCCTTGACATTCTCCAGGAGCTTCGAACTGTGACTATCAGTAGGTTCAGCTGCAACGGTTGTCGAATGGGATGGACATGATGGACATGATGGACTTGCAGACCATGGTAGACCATGGTAGACCATGGTAGACCCCTAGGGTCAGGAGAACATGATGATAAGCTGTTGGATACTTTTGGACTCTGGGGTACCTTATTTTGGGACAAACCCGCAATTCTGTTTCTATTCTTTTTCCTGAATTGTGGTTATAATAGCACACATTGCACCGGCACGAAACAAGGACCAAAAAGATGGCTAGCCCAGCAAGTTCGAGCCACACAGCTCAACATCATGCTTGAAGTGGTAGAGTTCTTTGCAACGCAGTGCAAACAACTCTGAAGGGGCGCATCCGTGTGGATTTTACAGGTTAGCAATTTACTTCGGCGTTTTTGGTGCTTTAGCCAAGAGTGAGAGTGAATGCAATGCATGTTCAGTTGAAAGACGCAACGAACTAATAGCCTTTAACAAATTGCTTTTCCAACCAACTAGAAGCGGGTCATGATGTTCATTGTCTCGTTTGAGCGCAGTCTGTGCTTCGTTGATGTCAGTGAATCAGACCGAACATGAACGACACCTTGTACCGAGCAATTCTACTGCCACTCCTGCACTGCTCATGTGACCTGTGAGCAGGAGGTCTTTTTTTCAACTGTTGAATCACGTGCTGCGGAACTACTTCAAGCAGCACTCTGATCCAATGATTTTGGTAATGATTGGTTTTTATCCTGGTACTTTTCGTGCTCCCTAGCAAGTATCTTGCGCCTCAGTTGAAACCTTTGCAATCGTTTGCAAATGGACTGTTGCGGTTTTGCTTCAACGTCCATTCCCCAAATTGGATCATTGGCTTGTGAAAAGAATCCAAATTCAGCCGTTGAATCTTTACGAAAAAATCAGGCGTTTTGATGGATCCGTGTCGTAGGCGGCTCTGGAACGGAGAGAGTCTCCCCTTGTGTTTCCTGTTGAGGACAGAAAGTGGGCTGGGCAAACCTGTAGAGTTTGGACATGTTTGGACGCCCTTCCAATCAGCTGAGTTTTCGATGCCAACAGAGATTCAAGAGCAAAGAAATACATAGATCTTCAATCGCTATCGTAGTAGAAGTGATGGCACGTGTGCGACAGGTGGGGCCAACCTTGGTTGCCATGATGTTTGATGCTGGCTATGGATCAATACCTAAACACACCCTGAATCAACATGGATCCCACATGATCTTTTGAAACTGATTTTACTCTTGGATATGGCTATTTTGATCTATTTGTAGTGATTCCATATGGAATGTTTGGGTCTTATTCCATAAATCCAAAAATAAGAATCGCTGCTAAATTCAACATTTTGATGATTTCAGAATTTTTGGTTGTTTTATCACGAGGAAAAATTTGAATTGCAAAAATCCATTTAAATCTCAGGGATGTTTTCACAGATCCCCGTTGTTGCGCCCTTGTGTTGCAGGCCCATAGAGCATGGAGGTCTTGATGGCCACTTCCTGAAGGTAAGGGGAGCCTTGTTGAGCCATGTGCCTTTTTTTGGGGGAAAAAAATACCGGGTTTAGTGGGGATGGGGAGCTAGTCCAACAAGGGATAGCGGGACATTCATGAAGCAGTATAATGGGGCTAGTAGTACTTAGTAGTATTGTTCATCTCTCAATACGTTATATTGGTTGTTTTATATAACCAATTGGGAATGGGTTTAAAGCTATGTGAACAATATCATATTTGGGGGAGATGGACATCCATAAATCCCATGTGTTTCCAGCTGTTTTGATACCAAGGTAACTAGGTTTAAACCCATAGCCATTTGGTCTTGGAAATGAAATATCCAAACAACATCAAACTTTGCTAAAATCGCAGTAGTTCACAACCAAAAAAAAAATCAACCATACTGTTCATGTTTGAGATGTGAGCAACAAGAAATCTGAATGGTTTTGGAGTTTTAACCACCAACCAGTTTCTGGGTGTGCTGGTTCACTACGATAGATCGGGACACAGCTGCTTTGGAGCCAGTTCCCTCCGTTTGCCATTCACCCCTCCATGAAAAGATGGCCACATGTAACCGTTTTAACCGCAGTAACTGGGGAGACCATGTTATTTTTGTTGCAGCGGTTTCACTCCAAGAAACAAACAAATACAAAAGGTGCAATCATGAAATCATGATATGATGATATGACTATTATTATCACGTTATGCATTACTAATCGTATGGTGTATGGTGTTTGTATGGTGTGTTCCTACGCATTACTCACAGGTCCGGTGTGTAAAAAAGGTTTCGGCCACCGCCGGAGGTGCCGGAAAAACAGCGCTGCGACAGATCGAATTCGCTCGTCTCATCGAGGTGCCAAGTCACATCCGAAGACGACACCTCCACTGCAAAGCTCAAGAGTCAAAAACCATAATGACTTGAGATCACTTGAATTCAGTTGAGAAATCAGATGAGAAATAAATTGAAATGACTTGAAAATGCCAAAGTCCTGGCAAGATTTGTTGGATTTGAATCAAATTGCTCACAAGTTTTGATTAAAAAAATCACACCACGGGGCACGGACTGTGTCAGTTACTGACTCAGTTGCAGCAGCATGACATCGTGGATTCCGTCTCCGGCATTTCGCAAACAAGTCTGAGATCAGCAATCGGAAGGCGAGACTCACATGTTTCCATTTGGGGTGGCAGGTCTTGGATAGAACCGCGACTTTGAGTCAATAGTTGAGGCAAATGCAAAGTGAAGTGTCACTTCATCTCCATCCACTGTTGGGACCAGCGTCTGTCGATTTCGTGGGTTTGAGATCCCTGCCTTTAAAGAGCCTTCTTGAACCTGGAAATGCATTGAAATGCATTGTAATACAACACATGGTATTACGGGGCACGCCTTCACAACCTTCCGCTATGTATGTTTCCATGGCTTGTGGGAACCTTCATGAAACCTTAGCTACTGCCAGCACTTCGGGCACTTTCTCACGTACATCTTCCACAAGACACACATGCGAAGTAAACATGTTGCATTCCTTAGTTTTGGTGTTGTCAAACTTATCCCTTGATACAATCCAAGACCACTCTGGGAAAGGCTCACGACATAGACTTCCATAGAGGGCAACCTTTGGCCAAAGGGAATCAAAAAGATTAAAGGGATTCAGGCAAAGTTTCTCCCCATCGAGATGGAACTCCAATCAAACAGACATTGCACCTATATGCACATATGGTTTTATCGTCTTTGATTCTGGTTCTCCTGCAACTAACAATGAAGGCACACGTGTCTTCATATTTTAAACTTTAACCTCAAAACTGATTGTATCAACCTAAATGCTTCCAGCATCTTCCAGCATCTTCCAGCATCTTCCAGCATCTTCCAGCATCTTCCAGCATCTTCCAGCATCTTCCAGCTAAAAGCATTGTTAATGTGACTCTTGAAATCACAGAGGCAGTGACAGCGAGCCCATCAGGTTGACATGTGCATTGATCGCAGTGCGGAACTCCATTGGACGATGCAAGAAGACGGGGCCACAACGAAGTTGTGAAGATTTTGGAGGGTGCGGCATCTTGGCTGCACACAGTCGAGTAGAGCAGGTTGATCAGGTTGGTGTTTGATCGCTTCCACCACCGTGCAGCCCTCACATTCACATGTTTGGTACATGTTCTTCGGCAGCATTGAAATCCGTTCAAGATACTTCAATTCAAGCACTGTGATAATGGTCCAGCTGTGCCAGGATGTTTGATGATGTGATTGAGTCAGTGTTCGGCAACTAATTGCTGAGCAAACGGTGTGCTACTGTAGTGTACAGCTGTTCTGTGCTTGAGCTCAACCAGAAAGTCCGTGGAAAAGTTCGATCCAGTCATGCTTTTGGCGTTTAATTCCTCCAGTGGATGTCTCTCTAATGGCCGCTGAAATGAGGCATTGACTGGTCCTAGATGTTAAGATCAAATCTGAGCAAGTTAGGGTCAGCTTTCCTGAAAGTTCACATGGCTCAGTTTTCAGCTCAAACACCAGCAGAGTGTGAAATGGGCAGGTCTTAGACATTCTGCAGGGAACACAGCAAAACTTGAGTGGCAAGGGTTGAATAGGAACTTGACTTTACGCATCAAAGATTGCAAAGTCAGGAACGTTGCCTTTGCAAAGTCATTGGCATTTCCTTGTTCTCGCTGCCAATCCTTCTCCAATCTGTTGCCAAGCCTGTCCGCGCTTGGCCTCAGCTTAAGAGACCATACTCCACCAGACGCTGAAACAAATCGCAAATCCAATGAACTCACAAAATATAACCAAACATATATTTGTACCCGAACATTCTCTTGTTGAATTGAGTTTCGGGCCTGAACATTTGGCGCTTTTGGTGAGCCTCATTTTCTGAGGTTCCTCACTGGAACTGCAGGACTCCGGGAGCGGGGCACAGAAAGCTTGGGAATCATCAAAGGTGGATGGAAAATGCATTGGCTGCCTAGGCTGTTAAACCAAGAAAATCACAAGTTCTTTTGGGCCTCATAGCCCTTGCTGTGGCAGTATATAGATTTGTAAGTTTTTCCATCAGGCATGATTCTTCATGTATCAATTTTGCCTGTGTACAGGTCGTGGCTGCGTTCTTTCTGAATTAAGCATCCATATCTTGAGCATTTTTCAGTAGACACATGAAGAGGTGTGAAATCGATTTGCTCCAATAACCCTTTTAGATCCAAACCCATGGCTCCAACTCCCCAAATACAACCAGACATCTGAAAATCTCTCAAAAACAGTTTCAAGAAAGCACCAACTTGAAAGAGAAACACCCATGTCGCCTTCAGGTTTCTGATCGCCATGGGTAGCGGCAGCTCCGTTCCAGCATTTCAGCTGACAACTGAGGAGGCCAAGTGCACCGTCAAAAGGACCTACGACATCTCAGAAGCGTGAGTCTCTAGGATCAGCAGTTGTAAGAATAGAACACCTCATTTGTTTGACATGATTTACCTATTGTTTGCCAACACCAGATATTTGGAGATATTTGGAGATATTTGGACATGTGCAGTCTTTTTGCAATTTGTGGTCACCCCGAATAATGTTTGCGTCCGATAGTTACAAACCCAAACTCCCAAGGCTCTGGGCCTCCAAGATCAAAAATCACTCCAGCCAGCACAAGAAAGTATATATTAGAAACACAAAAATCACCATAGAGGAAATTCAAAAAAAATCAAAAGCATATGATGTTGTCTTTTACCATTTGGAAAAAAATCTCTACATCTTACGCCTTGGACTGTTCTTTCTTGCTTTATGCTATTAAGCCTCTTTGGTGACATTTCCGACGAACAATAATCTCCTTTTCAGCTGCGGGTGTCCCTCGGGTGATGGACTCATTTAGAGGGAAAAAAACTCTACCCTGGATCCCAAATCACCAAACCCACCACCACCGGCATGTTTGGGATGACTATGAAGGGAAAGCCACAATGGTTTTAAGTCCTAAAGCTTTATACATGCTCAAGAGCTCTGAAGGAACGTTGTAACGTTTGAAGGTGATGCAGCCAATGCAAACACATTGACAAGAAATATAAGCCATTTTCCGCGAACCCTCTTCGCAGCATGCTGGTGCTTGCTTGGACAGAAGACATAAACCACTTTCATAAATAAAACACCAAGAAACTCAGAAATATACTTTCACTTCTGGCTAGAGGTATTTGGGTGTCACAATCTGAGAGTCTCATACTTCTGGTCTCACCCTTGGGCAGGCTGCAGGCGTCGATGCTTTTGTGGCTGCCGGTGTGGCGGAGGCGAAAATCTTGCAAATGTCGGGACGGCCTGCCATGTGGGTCATTGTAAGTCCAGGATTTTGTACAGTGAGAAATTACGACAATTTAACATCTAATGATCGGCAAATCAGAAGCAATTGTTGCGGACATGATAAAATATGATGCTGAACCTAGTGGGTTGTGCCATGTCCTGCTGCGCTTTTGCAAGGTCCCAAGTCTTGCGAGAAGAGTGGAGGAGCTGCAGGCATAGTCGACTACATCGAACAGCAATTCAGCAACACTTTAAGTTCCACCTAAAGCCCAGAGATTTAGTTTGCATGAAAAAAATGCTCGTGCATTTGAAGCGATTTTAGGATCGACATCAGTGTTTGAAGATGGGACAACTTATTGCAGCAGTCGTGGCAGGCTGGAGCTCAAGAGTCGGAGAGACTCATAGAAGGGGTGGCACAAGAACAACTCCAAGAAGAGGCGCCCATCCAAGATCCTGAGATGTAAATTGTTATTGTTTTTAGCTTGACCTTAAAATGATGCTGAATGGAGCAGGTTGTCACTTCCGTCTACAGATGAGTGCAAGATAAATGACAGCAATGACAAGCAAATTTCAACTGCACGACCCCCCCAAATCGATATTTAAGATATATCCATGATCTTTACCTCATGGTCCCTTTGTATCCAACTCTGGCTCTATTTTGGCGTTGCTATATCCTGAAACGTCAACGCCAAAGCTCTGAGAAATGTCGAAGTGATTCGGCTCTTTGGATTTTCTTCTCCCAAAATGCAGATGCCGTTGAGTGCTGAACTTTAGTGCTTGAGCTTCAGGAAACGAGGCAACAAATCCCTACAACTTGAATTTCACCATTTAAATCAAGATTCACACGCATTTGTCATGTGATAGTAGTCGGCTCAGCGGATAAATCCCGTTGATCTGGAGATGGATGAAGTTCAGAGCTCCTTTCGTGTTGGAACAATCCAATTTGGAACCTCATCTTAGGTTGAAATTCTTCCCAGATGTTTCCAGTATAAACCGGAAGAATCGCAGCCACACATGGACAAAGTCAGACCTTCAAACTTGAACAGTGGGTTTGCTGGGTCTGATGTAGGAGGACGTGTCATTTATTTTTTGCCTTGTCTTCTAGCATGCAACTTGATGGTGAACCCAGACCTTGCGTCAGAAGTTTTGGGATGGCAGAAGTTGCATTCTGCATTGCATCCTGTACAGTGCTGTGCCAGGTCCGCAGCCTGCGGAGAAGAGTGGAGGAGCTGCAGCGTGAAGCAGATTTCGATGCAGTCGATACCGCGGCGAAACAGCAAGACTTTCGTGGACTTCAAAACCAAACACTGCCAGATTCCAAATACTGGACTGGAATGTGTTTGAAACCGAGGATAAAACATGTCTTCGGCATTTGCGAAGATCCATTCTTCAACAGTGCTCACGATTCGGAGGAACTCCAAGAAGAGGTGGCGCAACTGAAAGAAGAGGCACCATACAAGAGATCATCAGAGATTGTCAGATTCGTTTTAGGCTGACCTTGGTTGGTCCAGTTTGGAAGGCCGGAGCTGAAGAGGCAGAGAGACTCCTGGACGAGGCACAAACGCAACTCCTTGAAGAGGCGCCCATTCTGCGAGTGCAATGCAGAGAGGTGCGATGACAAGCAAACTTAACAGGACCCCCCTAAACAGATCTGATTTGTATAACTTCCAGGATGTTGTTGATGATTTGTACCTCATTGTTCCCAAGTATCCAACGTTATAATCTGTTTTAGGATTCCTATATCCACAAACGTCAGCACAAGAACTCCGAGAAATGATAATTTGGCTCTTGGGATCCCTTTTTTTCCGTGAGTTGTGAATGTTTGACAAATCCTGTTGATGCATGTTGCTAAATTATTGAATGTGCACAAGGCATCTATGTATTTTTTTTGGTCGGGTGAGAAAGATGCATTTCTGAGTCGGAAATGGGGCATCAAATCCATAAATTTCAGTTGTGCCAACCGCTTCACCATGCCCCTCACCATGCTGATTTTTCCAGGCCGCAGTGGAGACCGCCCTTGCACAGGCAAGATTCCGCAAGCATTTATCCAATTTATCCTGTGATGGTGTAGTTGGCTAAGCGGTTAAAGATGGTTAAATCCTGTTGATCAAGGAGCTCACCATGTGGCCTTCTGTGTCCGAACAGTCCAATTTAAAGCTTGATATGGACCTTTCCCAGATGTTTCCAGTACACATTTGACGAAATGCTGCCACACAAAAACAAAGTCAGTTCTGCAAGCTTGAACTGCGGGCTTGCTGAGTTTGATGTAGCAGGACGTGTCATTCTTTTCTTCTAGCATGCAACTTCATGTGGAACCCAGTTTGCTCTGGATTCAAGGTGCAACTTGCATCAGAAGTTTTGGGTTGCTGGCAGAAGCTGCATCTTGTACAATTGTACAATGGCAAGGTCGCAGGGAGAAGAGTGGAGGAGCTGCAGGCCATTTTTTTGGCTACCTGTGCGAAGCAGGTTTCGATGCAGCTGATACCGCAATGAAACAGCAAGATTTTTCTTGCACTTCAAACCTAAACACTGCCTGATTCCAAATACTGTAGCGCGAGTTGTTTGAAACCCATTTCTGTGTCATTTCATGTTTGAAAACATTGACAGCGGTGGTTGAAGATGGGAGGGTTGGTCGCAGCATGTCGCAGCATTGACAGCAAAGATCCGCATCCAGCTGTGCTCGAGTCTGGAAGGCCGGATCCCACGACTCGGAGAAACTCCAAGAAGAGGTGGCGCAGCTGAATACATCCCATGAGACCGTCAGAGGTCGTCAGAGATCGTGAGACTCGTTTCTGCAACGTGTGCTTTGTTGGTCAGATTGTTTTGCCATGTTTTCCTGGACAAAGAAGGACTCGTTGGTAGTGTGGGTGTTGTAGGTTCGCTCATTGCGTCAAGCTGAAGCTGCTGCAGCTCGGCGCATTGAAGAACTAGAAAGATTGCGAGAGGCGTGGTCAATATTGTCCATGCTAGATTCTTTCTGGTGCCTTTCCAAGTCACAAGATTGTAGACATTGTTGACTGCAGACAGATGTCACAGAACTGAATTGTAGAAAATACATGCCATACTCAAAGATCCTGCACATCAGTCGCACATCCAACTAGGCGTCCGGGATGATCCCACATCTGTATCTTCTGTCCGGTGCGTTGCACCTATGATTTCACTAAATCCGCCCACACCGCTTTGGCGGTGAAGGCGTGCTTATTGGGGGGCAACAGCAACACTAAATGCTCAATGACATTTGTTAATATAGCAGTCGCTATATCAGCTTTAGCTGGGGGGGGGGCCCCAAAAACGGTTTCGCACCGAGACCAGACCCCAAAAACGGTTTCGCACCGAGACCAGAATACGGTGGTGTTTTCGACATTTTTCGAGGATTTTTGGGTGTCTGAGCGCAAGAGGGTATTGAAATGGAATTTTGGGTCATTTTGGTAGCTTTCCGGCAATGGAAAAACGGCCAAAAATGAAAAAAACATTGTACATAGCAAGATTTTGCAGGGTTTTTGGATGCCAGAGCATTGAAAACACTGCAAAAACAAGTGTTTTGGACTGACGTTATAGCAAAAAACGTGTAAATTACCGTATGCTTGACTGGAAACATTACAAAAACACTGTCAAAAGCAATGTTTTGGAAGGATTTACTGCCTTTATGGCAAAAAACGTGTAAATTACCGTCTGTTTGACTGGAAACATTGGAAAAACACTGTCAAAAACAATGTTTTGGAAGGATTTCTTATATATATATATATGTTGGAGTTGGCTACCGGCATTGGCACATGGAAAAATTGAAGAAAACACTGTAAATAGCGGTATTTTCAACGGTTGGGGAGAGAAGGGAATTGGAAGCATTGTCGAACATGATGTTTTCGACCGGTTTTATGGCGACAAAAGTGTAAAGTACCGTGCTTTGAAGGAAACCATTGCAAAAACATGGAAACACATTCAAAGAACACGGGATTTGGGGGACTATCTAGGCGTCGTTGTCTAGCTATTTGAAATTCCGCAGCTTGGAGAGCCTCCAAGGGAGGGAAAGTGAAAATTCCATAGCTTGGGAAGCTGTCACGGCGGGGAAAAGTGAAAATTCCCTAGCTTGGGAAGCCCCCACGGGGGGGAAAAGTGAAAATTCCCTAGCTTGGGGAGCCCCCACGGGGGGGAAAAGTGAAAATTCCCTAGCTTGGGGAGCCCCCACGGGGGGGGGAAAAGTGAAAATTCCCTAGCTTGCGGAGCCCCCACGGGGGGGAAAAGTGAAAATTCCCTAGCTTGGGGAGCCCCCACGGGGGGGGAAAAGTGAAAATTCCCTAGCTTGGGGAGCCCTCACGGGGGGGGAAAGTGAAAATTCTTAGCTTGGGGAGCCCCCACGGGGAAAAATCACCCTTAGCCCCTCTCACGGACCGAAATAAACCTGCGGTGTGGGTGGCCACCCCACGCGAAGCGGGGTGAATATTATGGCTATATGCAATATTTGCAATGTGTGCTTTGTGGGCCCGACTGTTTGATGATATTATAAATAACCTGGGCACTGAACTGTGTTCGGAGCACAAGGAAGGACTCGTTGATGTTGCAGGTCTGCTCGTTGCATCAAGCAGAAACTGCTGCAACTCAGCGCATTCAAGAGCTAGACAGTTATTTGCGAGAGGTGCGGTCATGTGGTACCCGATCGGCGATTGTAGCTGTTCCAGGAACCTTTATTTCGATCAACACCCATAAAGAGCACGCTTGGCAGATGCTTCGAAATTGAGTCTGACACGTAGAATACAGAAATTATGGATTCCAGGATCCCTGTTTCCCGTTTCCCCTCCTTGCACAGGGATTCCATGAACTTCAAGCATGCAACTGGTCTAGTGTTCAATTCTAGTCCTGTTGACTCTGGCGGCTGCCTCTAAGCCGGTTTCAGTGACTTTCACCAAAGCGGATGCGGCTTGCAGGAAGCAAAAGGTGTGGAGCAAGTGCTTGGGCAACTTGGTGCAACTAGTGTCACTTCCACTGTGAAGGGGTTGCTTTGTAAGATCTGAAGTTGAATCACTGACAGGTTGGCAGTGCAGGCAGACCGATCCATTGCATCTCCAATCGATCTATATACCTATTCTACATTGTGATGTGTATACACTTAGGTTTCCGAGAAGTTCCGCAGGCTTAATTGAATACATAGCTGACATAGCTACTGGTGAGAGATGTAGACCCTCTAGTGTGGAAACTGCCTGACACAATGGAAATTGACCAGTGTCAAGAGGCAGAAATAGCAACCATGAAGAGTCATTTGGTTCAGGTCAGCAGGGGGAGGAACGTCATCTTCAGCAGAACTGGCGACAGAGGCATCATGAAGAATAAGCCATGAGTCACAGAGCTATAGACCAGTGATCATGTGGTCGTTGCGTGTCACAAGTGCATCTTGTTTTAGGAAGTCGGATAGGTTGTTGCAAGTTGTGGGCCACCTCGGATTTGTCATGTCTCCATCCCTTGAGCTATCGTGTAAAACGGTGTGAAGCCCGTTAAGCCATGTTGCAATAGCCTTGTGAACCAGGCTCCATCCACATTTGTGGTATCAACTTCTTTGAATTGATCCCCCACAATTGCATTGGTAGCGCACCGCCCAGATCCCCTCGTGGTTCGCTGACCTTGCTGGATGTCCGTGCTCGACAGCATGGATGAGGACTATACGTCCTACGCCGACGAGTGGGACGGCCATGGCGATGACTATGGTGAGGGAGAAGAAGAAGGGAGCGACCATGAGACTGATCCTGACGCAGGACTGGAGTCTGAGGACGTCGAGGGTGAAGTCGAAGATGGATCGCAGCAGCCAAGAGAAGGTGAAGAGCCAGCGGGACAAGCACCTAGTTCGCCTCCCGTGAGGCATGGCAAAAATGGGCCGAGATCGACTTCTTCGGTGAGCGGCTCGTCAGCGAGAGGTGCTGGTGGTTCTCATCATTCTCAGACTCGCTCATTGGCATACTCTCCTTCACCTGGGCCTTCAGATCCACCTTCCGGATCCCGAGATAAGGGGACCGACAAGGACAAGAAGGACCCCAGTGACTCGAAGTCTGGTGATCGCAAGAGGCCAAGAGGTAACTTGCCACCTGCACCCGTTTTCACCGGAGATGTGAAGACAGACCCTAAGTGCTTCAAGAAGTATGTGGGAAAGGTGGACAGTTACGTGGAGTTGGCTCGAATGATCATCGATGACAAGGAGATCGGGCTGAGGTTGCATGCGGCATTGGATGGCGCTGCTGCCGACTACCTCGAGGACGTTCCGGCCAAGACCTTCGGTGGTGAGAGCGGCTGGAAGATCCTGATGAAGGTGCTGAAGGACAAATTTGACCAGCCCCGGATGCAGAAGGTGGGGTCGGCTATGAAGTCCTTCTTCAAGCTGCAGCTGGGCAACAACTGCACTATGCGAGAAGCGTGCGACATGTTGGACAAGGCCCATCGCCAATGTCGAGATACCGGTCTTACTGTACCTGATGCCATCTTGATACATTGGTTCTTTGAGCATGCCCACATCAGCCAGGAGCGGCAGGCAAACTTGCTCTTGAGGACCAATGGGGAGTACAACTGGAAGCTCATCAAGCAGGCGGTGGAGTTGTTGTATCCCAACGTCTATGTGGGTCGAGGTGGCTACAGCTATGGCAACCGTGGTCCACCAGGCAAAGGTCGAAGTGCACACGAGGCGCATGCTACAGGAGAACCTGGTGACATTCCTACATGGGATGCCACTGAGGATCAGTTGGAGGGCTGGCTCTACGAGAATGACCCCGTGGAGGCGCTGGCTGAGGTGGAACTATGTCAAGGACTTCCAGAAGAAGTGTCGCGTGAACTACACCAAGTCTTCGCCACCCATCGGGAGAACAGACAGAAGCTGGCCAAGGCCGTGAAAGCTAGAGGCTTTTATGTCTCTGGTGGCAACAACTCCGGCAAGGGGAAGAAAGGCAAGAGTGGCAAGCCATCTAGCTTTAAGCCTAAAGGTGGCAAAGGCGCCAAAGGCGGTGGAAAGGCAAGAGGCATGTCACTAGATGAGTTGAAGGCAGTGACAGCCTGTGCCGATTGTGAGCAGATTGGCCATTGGAAGGGAGACCCAGAGTGTCCCAAGCAGAAACGTGGTGCTCACGAAGCTGCCGAGACGATGGCGGTGAAGAGGAGTGGTATGGCGAAGATGAAGAATATCAGTGGAATGACACCTACTGGGAGGAGCAGTACGACGGACAAGCACGCTCCGCCCATACGGCATACCGCACTACATCGACTCCGACCTCTTCAGCGGCTCCTATATCGTCCTCGACCTCTACACGCGGCGCGGCAGCATCATCATTGCAGAGCTCTACGTCACGGAAGAGTCCTACGCCTTTGAAGAGACCTTTTTCAGCCTTTCCCCCAGTCGTTGAGGAGGAGGCCAAGCAGATCACACGCCACATCAACGCTTTGAAGCGGAAGTCAGCAGGAGAGAAGGCGAAGCCCGTGCAGTACGACTCGGTGCGGGAGGAGATGAAGAAGGAGCTGGAGTCGGATGACTTCCTGGCAGGCGTGCACAACGTCAAGCAGATCATCGAGGCGAAGACCCAGAACCTGATCACCGATAGCGATGCTGCGTCGGCGGTGTGTGAAGCCGTCCGGCATTACAAGACCGAGCCCTTCAGTGAGCCCGGTTCAGCCTTCGCCCTGCTGAAGGACAAGTCCAAAGGCCCTGACATCGAGAGTTTGCGCTCTTCCAGGAGGACTTTCATGACACGGCGGGTCCACTGGGAGGACAACTTCGAGGACGAGGAGATGATCCCGGATGTAGTGATGGATCGACAGGTCCGTTCCTTGACAAGGAGGACTCCAACGGTGCAGGATGGAAGGAGCTATCTGACCATCGACACGGCTTGCGAGAACACTGTGTGCGGCATGAACGTCGTCAAGGTCATCACCCAGCGGTTCTTTGCGGAGTTTGGTGTCGTGCCGAAGTTGGAGGCCGAAAATGAGAAGTACTGTTTTGGACCTGGGGATCCTATCCCTTCGACCCAGCGGCTGAGTTTGCCGATCGGGATCATGGGACACCCTATGATCATCAAGACCTCTGTCATCGAGTTGGAGCCAGGACGACCAGATGTCCCATTTCTCGCCGGCCAAGATTGGCTGTTGTTCGTACAGGCCATCATTGACGTTGGCAATGGAATTCTCCGGATGCCCCAAATTGGCATCGAGGCCCCGCTGCTGATTGACCGAACTGGTCATTTGGTGGTAGCCATTGATGAGTTTCCCAAAGGTGGATGGCCCTCCAGTTTGGTGTCGACCTCTGTCACCTACGAGGGCGCACTATTCAAGCTGTCAGACGAGATCTGTCCGCCGAGCCATCGGGAAACTTATTCGTCATCGCGCTTTGATGTGGTGAGACAACAAGTGAAGAAAGCCCCCAACTACCACTATGAGCCCAATCAAGATGAATTCAACCTGGACTTGCCTAGGGGACCATGTGTAGTTCCTTCTGACTATTGGGAGTTCAAGTTTGAGAAGGGCATTTACATCCGCCATCACTGCAGGCCGAGACGGCACCTCTTCACTCCGGAGGAAGATGCTGCGTCTGGCCCCGAGCTGAACATCCTCAGTGATGAACGGGTAACAAATATTTTTGGTCTTTTAGAACCCCTCCAAGATGTTTGGAAGTTGAACGGCGAGCTCAACAAACAAGCTCTACGACATCCATGGGTTGGACAGACCATTTTCTATGTACATGGTAAGCCCCCCAAACTTGATGATTTGGAGATTCACCCCCATGACGGACTTGAAGTTGTTTTTCCTGACGGTATTTCACACGTTGTGGCAGTCAAGAGCCTCACGAGTTTGCAGGGTCACAAGAAGATTCAACATTTTGACATGGCAGCCAAACCTGAGCTTTTTGAGCATGCCCCGAGTAGACGTCAGAAGAATTTTTCGATCCCTGCCCAGCAGTTTGGCTCACGAGCAGTTGCAGATCGAGCACTTCAACGTCAACATCGTCTTCAAGGAGGTCAAGAACTACATGGGCAAGACACTGCGGTCATGGGCAAGAATGGTCATGGCAATTGGCCGCCTTTGGTCGCTGGTGGCAAGATGGACAAACCTCAACAAGGCCATCCGGGAGTTCAAGCACCGGTCTCCGGCCTTGGTGAATTACATGGAAGCCCTGATGCGGCACTCTTCGGAAATGCCGGCCACGATCCCGCCAACAACGACCAAAGCAGCGGGTCAGACTTCGAAGGTGCTGATGCCGACATACCCGCTGGCCATTCCAAATTGCCCTCACGAAGTGGAAGCAGCACGAAGGTTGGGGAATGCGCACGGCCGTTTTCAAGAATGCATGGATTGCGGCCTGATTCGCAAAGCCCTCACCAAGGACTACACGGTGCCAATCTCCAAGGAGAAGGTGGTGGTGTACCCCTATCTGCACGGGTATCGTCAAACACCCGGCGCAAAGGCCACAAAGTTCGTGCTGGAGCCCAAGGAAGTGGCCTACTATGGCAACTTGGAAAATTGCTACTCACTCTCATCCTCGCAGGCGTCGGGGGTCTCCATCAACGAAGTGGTGAACAAGAAGAAGGCCCCCAAGGCCAAGCCGAAATCTACCTCCAAGAGATCCTCAGAGGGCAACACGGAGGAGATATCAGTTGGGGAATGGGAGGATGCGCTGATGGTGGACGACAGTCCGTAGATTGGCAAGTACCTGGTGAAGCTCAACCTTTAAAGCCAGGTCAGCGGAGGCGGCTGACGAATAATGTGAGAAAGGCGCTGGCTTTGAGTCGCGCTTCCCGAGGAGCAGCCCAGGCTAAGATGACGTCTTCTACCTGGCCCCGACGGACCTTTGGGTATGACATCATCGAGATTTTTGGAGGTACATCTATGGTGTCGTTGCGGGCCGGGAGAAACTGGAATTTGAGGGTGTTGCAGCCCATCGACATCCGCTACGGCGTTGACTTGAGGAGCCGACGCTGCAGAAGGTGGTTACTGAAGATGTTGGATGTTTGGAATCCTCGATTGGCATTGGTCGAGTACCCTTGCACTCCATGGACTATACTCCAGAGGAATTGCAACTACCGGGACAACATGGAGGAGCTCTACGCACGACAGGAAGCTGACAGACCCTTCCTTAAGCTTTGCAAGGAGGTGTTCAAGAGTCAGCGACGACGTGGAGGTCATGCACTATGTGAGAACCCGGCCACGGCCGACAGCCAACATCAACCTGAGACTGTGGAGTTGCGAGAGGAGTTCTATGAAACTACGAGCTGCCTATGTCAGTTCGGAATGGTAAGTGCTAGAGGATGGCCGATGAAGAAGCGTGTCAGGTTCATCGCCACACACAAGCACATGACAGACTCCCTCAACGCGCATTGCCCAGGAGACCATCAACACGATCCAGTTGCTGGACGAGACACTGCAGCTTCGGCTGCCTATACACCGGATTTGGCAGATGCCATCTGCCGGGCCTACCTCGAGATCATCGAAGAGGAGGACTTCGGGCGCAAACACACGTGGGAAACGTATGAGCCACGGAGGTCTTACTTCGTGGACGTGGACCGCACCGAAGACAAATGGAGGCCCTTGTTTGACTTGGTCCAGGAGCAGTTGGCGCGCAAGGCCAGACCTCTATGTTTCTGGATCCCTCAACAGACTTGTATCGCAAGATTCAAGCTTTGACGCCTTGGCAGATCACCAATGTGCAGCTGGCCCATCTGCCTAAGGCCAAGCGCGTGAGACCAGGCATGACAGAGTGCCATCGAGCTTCGGTGCTGATGACCAATGAGGACCACATCATCATCGAGACGGAGTACATCCCCGATGCGCAAGCCCCAAGGGAAAGATTCGTCTATCCAGTGAGGTGGGCGATCTTCATACTTGGACATGCGCCTGGCGAACCTAAAGAGCCGTCACCTGCGGCTCCGCCACCACGACAACCTTTTGAAGAAGGACCACCTGCAGAAGATCTTCTCCTTCCCGCTCTACAACAAGAAGGACTGGTGAGGCAAGATTTTGCAGGTGAGTGTTGGTTCGTTGGACCTCCGTTGACAAGTGGGCAGAAGAAGTTGGCACCCGCCTTGGTGCGGATGCATCGCAACTTGGGCCACCCACGGAAAGAAGATTTTGTCAGGGCGCTTGCACAACAGGACCGGCTAGAACAAGACGCCTTGGTCTTGGCAAGACGGTTGAGGTGTGCAACATGTGAACGCACTCGGCGTCCATTGCCGCCTCGGCCCTCTTCATTGAAGTCGACACCGGCCTTCAACACCAAGCTCTCCCTGGACTTCGTCTACCTGCACGACAGCAACGGCGAGAAGTTCCACTACCTGCACATTTTGGATCCTGCGGGTGCCTTCAATGTGTTCGCGTTGGTCAAGAGCCGGGAGCCGTCAGAAGCTTTGGACGTCTTCACGACGAGCTGAGCGAATTGGGCTGGCTATCCAGCTCAGATGAGGTTAGACCGAGACGGAAGCTTCGAGGGAGTTTTCTACGAAAAGCTGACGGATCTTGGGTTGAACCTCGACTATATCCCGGCGGAGGCGCACTGGCAAGCAGGCGATGTAGAAGCTTTTAACCGAGCGTTCAGGAACGTCGCCAACAAGCTGATTGACGAATACCAGATTCAAGGTGAGCAAGATATGAGGATGTTGGGCGCTTCAGTTGCGGCGTCCCTCAATGACAAAGTGGTGCATCAGCCAACCAGTGGGTTTTCGGCAAGAACCCCACGATACCTGGTGATCTACTCAATTTGGACGGCAAGGTCGAGACGCTTCATGGACTCCAACGAGATGAACAACTACGTGTTCGCACTCAAATACGGGCGCGACAGATGCCCTGCTATCTGAATATCGAGTGAACGAAGCTCTCCAGAAGGCAGTGACAAGACAGAGTCGCCCGCCAAGACAACGATATGAACCGGGTGAACTCGTGGCTTTTTGGAGGAATGTCAAGAAGAAGAAGGGCAAACTGGTCCAACCAGGCTGGTTTAGAGGCACTATTATTGGTCCTGACAAAGGGTCTGAGGAGGGCCAACAGTCTAACTACTGGGTTTCCTCAAACGGAAGATGTATCCTTGTGTCCCTCGAACAGTTGAGGCCCGCCTTCGGGACAGAACTTTGGCCAGTCTCAGAGGAGGATCTTCAGTGGTTGGAGGACAACATGCCTGAGGAGTTCTACGATGAGCGCGGCGATCCTCCACTACCAGATGACATCCCACCTGACGCTCTCCACGAGGAGTTTGTGATTCCACCCTATGACGATGAGGTAGAAATGGCTGAGGAACTACGTCCTGCAGAAGTTCAACAAGTACCTCCTGAACTTGCTCAACCACCTGACCCTATGCAAACGTCACCGGCCCCATCAGATGCAACTCAACCACATCCTGAGTCGCCTTTGTTGACTCGGGCACCTGGCACACCTGTGGGAGGCTTACTACAGAACGCACTCCGTGAACCAGACCCCAAAAGACAGCGGCTGGGTTTGACACCTCCAGCATCGTCTGTCGCGGTGCCTGACAGCGATGAGGACGTGGGATCGGTGGAGTCGCAACGACCAGCCCATGAGACTGAGTCTATGCCTGATGCTGAGATCAAGTCCGCGCTGGTAACGGCTCTCTCCAAGGACAAGTGGGAACTGAGCGACGACGGTCAGTGGTTGGTCCGTAGACATCACCTACCGCGGCGGCAGTTGTTTTCACCGCTCGAAGTACCAGGACTACCAGTTCAAGCACAACGTCTAGGGTCAGAGAGGCACACAAGGTATCGCTATGTCAACTACATGTCAAGCTTCGACCAGAAGTCAGTGGACGTGATGTCAAAAGACCCGAATGAGACCCCTCACTCCTGGTCGGACACTTGGCGTGGGAATGGCTTAGAGACGGCAATGCACTGCGATTGGACAGGCAGCACTTGGTTCCGAGTCGTTGCCGCAGCCAAAAAGATCAAGGGAAGAAGAGTGAGTATGACAAGGAAAGAACAGAAGGCCCTCGACCGAGAGATACCCTATCACCTGATACCAGAAGATGAGCGAGAGGCCTATCATGAAGCACTTTGCAAAGAGTGGTCTACATGGGAACGCTATGCGGCAGTCAAGGTCTTGGACAAGGCGGCATCCGAAGCTGTGGAGAAGTATGTCGACAAGAACAGAATCTTGGACACCCGCGTATGCTATCGCAATAAGAACGCGGCCTTTCCTTGGATGCCCCCGAAGCATAAAGCAAGACTTGTCTGCCGGGGAGATCGTGATCCAGACATCACCTCTCTCCGAAGAGATGCACCTACGATGTCGAGGATGGCTATGATGGTGCTTTTACAAGTGGCAGCTGCGATGCCGGGATGGTTCCTGTTCAACGCAGACATCACCGGTGCTTTTCTACAAGGAGACCAATCTTTGTCAAGCCGTAAAGAAGCCCTTTACCTTCGACAACCTCGCGAAGGACTACCAGGACTCCAGAAGGGGCAACTGATGTTGGTGGTCCGAGGAATCTTCGGACTGGCAAATTCGCCACGACTTTTCTGGCGACACCTTCGCGATACGTTGCTGAAGATCGGCTTCCGGCAGAGTACTTTGGACCGGGCAGTGTTCTTCTACTACAAGGAGGAGCGGCTGGTTTTGGTACTCGGAGCACATGTTGACGACTTGCTTGGCACTGGCCAGCCAGGCGCAGCGGACGAGGTGTTGGCCGAGCTACGCGCTACTTTCGACTTCGGCGCTTGGGCTGATAGCCGAGAAGATGAGGTGCTCGAGTACGGCGGCAAGCAGATCAGAAAGCTGGCAGATGGAACCGTCCTCCTCAACCAGGAGAAGTTCATCCGAGCTACAAGCGTGACAGCAATTCCAAAGTGGCGCACTTCCACTCCAAACTCCAACCTGCTCAAGTCCGAGATGACCGAGCTGCGCTCTGTCGGTGGTTGTCTCCATTGGGTTGTGGGACAGACCCGTCCCGACCTGGCAGCAGGCACTTCGTTACACATGTCGGGGACACCGACAGTAACCAACTTGTTGGAACTGAACAAGCTCCTCAAGGAGGCGAAGGTATCAGAGGGGTGGGCACTACGTTTTCGACCCATCGACCTTGAGAAGGCGAGGATCGTAGTGTTTTCGGACTCCAGCTTCGCCAACGCAGAAGGTCTCCGATCACAGGCAGGCTACCTGTGTTCGTTACCGGCGACCAGGTGTGCTCTGTGGAAGGAGATGTGGCGAGTTTGGTGGATTGGCGATCACATAAGATTAAACGGCAGTGTAGATCTACCCTGGCAGCTGAAACGATGTCCTTAGACGCAGCCGTTGATTCGGGGCTCTACACCCGGGAGTTGTTGGCCGAGATGTTGGTGGCAGACTACGTTCCTGCGCAATCCGGCCGATTGCCTCCTGATTTCCTGCCGATGCATGCGGCCACAGACTGTCGTAGCTTGTATGATTTGCTCGTCAAAGACGGGTCCTTGTCAACCACTCAAGAGAAGCGTCTTGCAATAGATTTGGGTGGACTGCGTGAAACAGCAGCCGAATTTGATGAACAGTGTGAGCAATTGACCGAGACTTACAAGTGGGTTGATACGAAATCCCAGTTGGCTGATCACTTGACCAAGCCGAAACCACCCATGCTGTTGCGAGAGCTTTTGGACAAAGGCAAGATTGCACTCCAAACGATCGAGTCAACTGACTCTCACGAATTGTAAAGAGTTTGGGGAGTGCAATTCCAGCATGTTTGCATATGCACTGAAACCTGCGGCCCCCGCCGCCGTAGGGCCCTTGAGCTATCGTGTAAAACGGTGTGAAGCCCGTTAAGCCATGTTGCAATAGCCTTGTGAACCAGGCTCCATCCACATTTGTGGTATCAACTTCTTTGAATTGATCCCCCACAATTGCACATACAATAACAATTCAAAATCATACTCGTCAATATCATACAGTCATGCGTCATCTTGACATAGATCTGGAGGCCAAAAGAGAGCGGAATGAAGTTATTGTGAGGATCAAGGCTGGAGAGTCTCCACAATGCGTTGCAGAAAGCAAAGCATTGGATTTTATTGTGTTGGAAGAGAGCCGGCTGCCCAAGACCAGGCACGTTGGGAAAGCCAGAAATTGAAGCACATCTTGGAGATTCAAGAGCAACAATTTGGCAAGGACATGAGTTTCAAGATGGTACAATCAAAAAGTACTGGTACCTCTTCAAAGACATTCTGAAAGTGTTCTGCCGAGCACACTTTATCCGTCAGATGAGTCAGATGTGTTTCTTGACCTGTGCCTAGGAGGATCGAGACACACTCAACACCAAGATCGATCTGGCGGCCGCTCTGCAGCTGCAAAACGATTTCACGGGAGCGCAGAAACAACTGGAAGAAGTATTTGAAGCTCTTGGCCGAGCTCAATCTGCCGATCTGAAGCCACAACTGGAGGAAGTATCTGAAGCTCTTGGCCGAGCTGGACCTACCGATCTCAAGGATGAACTTCATGGTTGCTGTGAAACATCAGCATGTGCCCACCCTACCACCCGGAAGGCCAGAATCCAATCTTTTCGTGGTCATTATGGCTTTGATATGCTTTGATCATCTGGAGCTACTTCTTTGAGAGTTGCTAGGGCTTTTTGCTTTCTTTGAACAACTTTTTCAAAACATACGGTTTTGCTGCTGGCTCAAAGTCTTTTTTTTCAAAACATACGGTTTTGCTGCTGGCTCAAAGTCTTTTTGATTTGACATTTTTTTTGTCACTACTGGTAAACACAGTACTTGCCCAAAAAACACCGAACGTTGCGTTGCGACTTTTTCCCTTAATGAACATATTTTTTTGGGATGATGGTTTCCAGCAAAGTGTAATGATCCCGTGCCCCTAATATGAAATACATCCAAAAGGGGTCCAAAATAATGAGGAGATCCAATACAAAACCAGAGTTTTAAAGGGCCCTCAACGGTTTTGATCCCGTAGCCAGGATGACCCAATCACACGCAGGGCGGTCGACTGCTTTGCGAGTTTACTTGGATGCCTTCACGAAGACAAGGACCCTTGCTTGATATGCACTTCGATATACTTCAATCACTCTTCAATCAACATTTGCCTGCTAGATGTAAAATGTCAAAAAGCACAAAAAGCAAATGCTAAGGGTCATTGTATGTTTTGCTTCGAAAGACATTTGGTCAACTGTCCAACTGAAAAGCATTGTGCTAATCACATAGTCGCGCCAGCCAAAGGCTGAAATCTCAGCCGGAGGATGCACAAGTTGTTATTGGGTAAAGTATTTTTGGTCCTGGTACTTGCAAACCATAATTTTCAACATCATTACGATATGGTTTCATCCAGAGACATCTTAGCTTCAAAGCGTCCAAACGCCCAACCATTTCCAATTGAAGAACATGCCCACGCTCGCACCAAATACACAGTGATATTTTTCCACCTGAGGCAAGAAAGCATCAGGGTTCCCATATCGTATATTGTGTAATTTCATCGGCTGATGGTTTGGTTTTCTCTAAGTCGCAGTTCGAGGGATGAACGAGTGACTTTGTTTTCCAATCGCAACTCCTTGTTGCCCAAACTTGAAGAGGAGACAATGTTGAAGGAAGTCTCGAAAATGCAATCGCAAAAGCTTGGGGAGGACCATATCGCATACCACCTGATCAGCTGATGACTCAAGCAGTTGAAAGTAAATTGTGAGCCATGCGCATCGTGCAAAACTGTTTCAATCAGGATGAAAACAACCCGCTTCGATAATTTTTGATATGTTTTGATAAAGATGCGCGTTCAGGAGCATCCACTGACCGTGAACTCCAAGGCCGACCTGGCAGTTGTTCTACAAGAACGGGACGAGCAAAAAGAAGCCGCTCAAGTGTTGAAGGAAATTTTGCAAGAACCACATGGACATGACGTGGGCATTGATTTTCTGAAAGATCTTACACTTAGCCCTGGACCTGCTGCTGCGGCGAAGGACCGGTTCGTGTTTTCCTTGTCTTTTTGTGTAGCAATTTGCTTTTTGGTGTGGTCGGGGCTAATATGCTTCAGACGTAAGCTCATGCAATGAGGACTCAGCCATAGATGACAAGAAGAAGTTCACTCTGCACTTCGTTGCGAAAGAGCGAGCACATGCTAACACCGAAGAGACCAGTGACATCAAATATGAAGGAAAGATTCGATCCGGTGCCTCTGCTTGCTGGATCTCCTTTCCGGGCAAGTTTGCTGCAGGGTGGGATGCGTTGGTTGCTGAATTGCACGGCGATAGCGTGGCCTGCGTCTTCTTGAGCACGCCAGACTCTGGCCTAGGCTGGCACCACAAGTTCGCTGATGGAAGTTGCTACTGCAAGCATATTTACGGAGAAAGAGACTTTGAGACATTTGGCTATTTGGTGAAAATGAAAGACCGTGACAGTGAGAAGTTGAAGCGCGAGCAAGCGAAGGCCAAACTGACGCATGCCGTCGTTGTCGCTGCAGATGCCACAGATAAAGAGGAGGAGAAATGCAGACAAGAGGCCGAAAGAAGATGGAAGGAGAACGGCAAGACGGCAGCGTGGGGATGTCAATGGTTTCATGCTTGGAAGGAGAAGGTGCAATCCAGTGGCAAGACATGAACACGTTCAACAAAACATGAACACGTTCAACGAGTCTTAGTTGGAGTGCCCCTTTTTCTTTGTGTGTGTAGCTTCGATTTTTGCAAGTAGGTGCATCAAACATTGTTTGATCCGATACATGTTGGTGTGAGCGTGACATGTTGTAATTCCTTGGATTTAAGTTACAAAACCTGATAGCTCACATTTGCACGATTTTACACCTGTATCACGCCATGTGTATCTTCTCACGGACATTTTGCGCATCACTTGCAATTTGCAGTAGTGACATCATAGATATGAATAACATATATGATATAATAAATGGGCTAACGCCCTGGTGCCGCCGACGATTTTCAAGGGTGGAGGAAGGAAAGCGCATATAATGTAACTCAACGTGTTGATGGAATATTATCTTGAGTAATTAAAGATGATGTTTTTGACACTATATCTTTTGAGTAGGGTCAAAGAACATGACACAATTTTGAAGTTTACGTGTTGGGTGACACACTCATGGGTCACGTGGTCAGTGGGCTCGAGTGAGCCCCACAACACAAGTTACTGAGTTTTTTCGATTCCGTTACTGCCATAGAGTCCTTTGCTGTCCACTGGGTGTATGCAACAGCGTGGCTCCATTGTGTACCACGATCTGGTTCGGACCTCATCGACTTCGTCTTGTACTTGCTTGACGGTTGTCTTCATAACGGGCTTCCTGTATTTGGCCTTGCTGTTGGAATTTGGCGTCACCATGGCCGAAGAGGATCGCAGGGTCAATGACCCGCCGTTACAACCTGATTCTGGCTCAGAGTCTGATGACTTCCATGGTCCACCTCCAACCCCGTGGACAGGTGTCGTTTTGAATGTGTTGATGAATTTGACTCTCAAACAGTTTCTTCTGCAATTCCTCCATTTAGACTGTGATGTGCCGGGACTTGTGAGAGTGCTCAACAACTCTGCACCGATTGATCTCAGATCCACCATGGCCGCACTGGACTGGCCGAGACGGATTTATGTCCAAGTTGCCAGCTACACCGAGTTCCAACGTTGTGTAGCCCAGTTTGGGTTGTTAGAACATGCCCCGGTCCTTGCACTGGATCAGCAACATGCCCAGGGAATCTTCCCAGCGCGCATGTATCTGCACTTTGTTTCTGCGTTTCGAGCCCTGGAACAGTATGAGCATTTGGTCAGCGCCCAATCCGTGGTGATTGTGCGACTGGAGAATAGGATCTCCCGTCTTGAACATGCAGTTGCCAATGGTGAGCCCCTGACACTCACCCCGCGCTTCCCACCTGAATGCTCAGCTTGGTTTCAAGATTCTCCCAGCACTCAGCCGGAACCATCCGCCGCCACAGACGCGGATTGAGACCTTATGTCGACAAAAGCTGTTTTCTTTTTGGGGGTTTTGCGCACAGATTTGATGTCTGTCAAGACGTTTGCAATGTTTTTCAAGGAAACCGTATTTTGCCTTTCGGATGAGAAACGCAATTTTTTTTTACACACATGAATGCAGAAATTTGACACAATGTGTGTCGCCCCATCCGTTGTTTTGTTTCCCGATCTCAAGCGGCGTAACAGCTGCGCATGCGAGGGACTTTGAGGCCAGGTTGTCAGATGTGCCCCCACGTCAAAAATTGAGTAGCGGTCTGCAAGATTTTCTTGCCTTCTCTAGTTAGACTCATCGTTGCCAGGTGGCACGAATTCTTCTTTCATTTCGTTGGAATCTCAGACTCTTCTCGAGTGAGAAGGTCCGAGACCCCGAGTGGGGTGGTAATTTGATTACCCAGCCGATGTGCTCAGGCCTTGGTGACACGTGTCCCCCCACTCAGTTTTGTTGAGTATGGCAGGTGCCAAAAAGAGAGTGCATTGATGTGGATCCATGATAATGGGGAGCATGCCACCCTTCAGGTGATTCGGTGGAGTGACAGCCTAGACCTCAAGTTTCGTCCATCACAGGTGTGATTTCATGTTTGGGCGAGTGCCATGCTATTTGTCACAGATAGTCATGTACATTGCACAAGTGTGCCATGTTTGATACATGACTTGTGACCGAGCGGCTCTCCGTTGATATAAGGCCTGACGAAGGAGGGTCTTATTTGTGGAAGAGACAACGAGAAATCAGGAAGTCAATTCCTCAGATGGCACTACTTTGCTGGTGCGTACGTTGGTTGACCGGAAGTATTTGCAAATTTTTCTTTCTGGACCCCTTTGCAAGTTAGGGTGTCGAATAATACACTCATTCCTTAAGGCGTGACATCTCCGGACCAGTGCCATCCTTTGCTTAAACACAGAGACTGCCTCGGGAGATTGCATCCATGAGAGTTGGAGTGCAATCTAGAACATGGCAGTGATGAGACACTCTCAGTTTGGTAAAATGTCTTTTTGGCTTTTCTTTGCCATAGGTGCTCTCGTGATGACTCTGAACGGGCAGGCAGGTGGATCAAGTGCCAACTTGGCACACTCAGCCGAGAAACGAGATCTGCCAATCGGTCCGAATATTGGCACGCTGGCTGTGCTCTTGGCCACCATCCTCACCGATGGGGGAGAGTGGCTAAGGGTGGTCTCGAAAGCCGAGGCTTGTTTACACGATTTTTTTCGACTTATTGGCACCCCCGCGTTTCTTCGTGGATTTTTATCAAGAGCTGGAAACCACTAAACTGTGGTTCAGGAGTAACAGAGAAGACCACCCTCATGTCTTTAGGGGCCAGATAGCGCGAAAGAAGTCGCCATTGTATATGCAAGGAACTCTGGCCACTTTGAGGTCTGACCACTCCCCTGTGTTCAGAGATCATTGTGAGGCCTTTAGAGCCCAGTTGGATCATCTCATTCTTAGCTGCACCAAACAGGACGAGCAGCAACTCTTCAAATACCTCTTAGAGGTCCAGATCCTCGCCGATTCGATTTATGAGGCTGTCTTTTGAACCATGCCAGCATAGTTGAAGACTTTTGTGCCTCAGACCGGGCCAGAGCGGAGCTTTCGAGTGGTGTCCAAAAGTTTCGTTGCCAAAGTTTGACAATGGAGTTCCACAGACTTGCAGGGAACAGCATGTGTTTTCTTGTTTTGCCTCAGAGCTGGGTAGTCGCACTTAATAGGCTCAAAATATGGATTCGGAAAATGCTCTCCCTGATCAGGGCACTCCATTGCCGTTGCCATGCGACATAGACCATCATGGGCATGCCTATCCAGAGGGGTCTCCTGGCCAGACAGGAGGCCTTGACACAGCAAGCCTTGAGATCTCCCTTGTAGAGCAGCCCAATGTGGGCAACCTTTTCGGGTATGAGACTCCTCGGCCCGTCTCGGATGAGGAAGCAGCAATGGAGGGCTCACACTTTGCTGAACAGGACGAGCCCCAGCATGACGATGTTTTGACAGACCAGGACAGGGCCACTTTAGATGCAATGGTGCATCAAGCTATGCTTGGGGCTTCACTGCAAGATGGTCTCTCACTGCCGTGGGAGACAGGTATTATGGCCACCATCTTTGGGGACGCCCCACTTGTCACCCTACCAGAAGTTCCGCAAGTTGCTCATTCAATTGATCCTGCCAATGTGGAGCCACACCCCCCTGAGGCTGTAGCTGAAACACACACCAAGAGAGCCAGGACCGATGCTTTCACTTGCAGGCTCTACGAACGGGCCATATCTTTCCGTAACACCCTCTCGGATTTGGAGATGGATCATGCCAAGTGGAACAAAGCTCTTGAGAAGCTATACACTGTGATGGTGTCGGGCCCAAGCAGTTGCCAAATTTGACCCGCTCAACATGGACAGGAACTTGCAGCAGATACGAGTGTTGTGCGGAGCCAGGAGCCCCAACACCATCTCCAAACGTGCAAACAGCTTGCTCCAATTCTGTTTGTGGCATCGTGGTTTCTACTACAGAAAGCATCCCATACCTTTTGAACAGGATATCCTGGACAAAAAGGCCTTGACCAGGCCACGCAGAAAACAAGCAAGGCCTCTTACAGTGTCCGAAGTCATTTATCTGGAGTCCGTCTTGCGCAACCCCAGCATAGACCTCGTGGATCGGTTTGCTGCGGGTGCCTTTTTGTTTGCTCTGTTTGGGTGCTGCCGATGGTCAGTTTTGCGACGTGTGAGCAATTTCTTTCTGGATACCAACGAGGTAGATGGGAGGACGATTGGGTACATGGAGGTCACCACGTTCTCACACAAGACTGCAGCACAGGTTGCTCGCCATGGTCTCCCCTGCCTTTGGTGGCCCCGATTTGGGGACTCGAAAAGCCATGTTGGGCCCTGGAATGGAACAAGATTGCCAAGAAGGTCGGCAGGATTTTCGATGACACTTTCAAAGGTCCCATCCTACCAGCGCCAGACAAGTTTGGCAACTGGGGATCAAGGAGCGTCACCGCTGCAGAGGCATCAAAGTGGCTTTTGGAGTTGCTTCGCCCCAACGGATCCAATTTGGACGAAGTGACTTCCCATAGTCTCAAGTGTACTGTGTTGAGTTGGCTAGCCAAAGCGGGCGCAGAGCCACATCACAGGCTCGTGCTCGGCCATCACAGCACGCAAAGAGGGTCGCTGGAGACTTACCCGCGGGACATGCTTTCCGCGCCTCTCCGAGCAATGGAGGACGTCCTGAGGAAGATCCGGATGGGAGCCCTTCATCCCGACCTGACAAGATCAGGACACATCCAAGAACCCACGAAAATGGATTGTGCCAGGGATGAACAGAACGATCCAGGAGAACCACAAAGTTCCTCCTCCGACAGTTCAGATTCCTCTAGTTCTGACTCGGATAGTACTGAATCAGAGCATGACTTGACCAGAAAATGGCACGCGGTAGGGGGCAATGACCCCAACGTTTGTAAATCCACATGGGGGTCCGGAACTATGTACTAGCATGTACAGAGTAAGATTGTGCATTTGCAGCAAGAGGGTTCCGACAAGATCTTTTACTGCGGTTTGCATGCCACCAGAGACCATAGGGTCATAGAGGCAACGCCTTTCCTAGAGAATCGGAAGTGCAAACGATGCACCGGTGTCTTGAATGCAGCCTGACGGATCCAGCAAAAAGAAGAAGAACCACCTATGTAGCCACATTGTCTTGCTTTAAAGTAATTTGACTAGTGACTAGTTTGTGGATGCCTCCGACTGCTTTGCCCATGTGCCACAGCCAGCTTTTGGCCAACCGTGCGCGGGTCTAATAAGTTTCATGAACCACGAACCAGACTCAGGACACAAGCACACTTTAATAACATGTCAGGGCACTTCTTTGACTTCCTTTTGATATAACTTAGCACATCCTTTGAAGCAATGGCTGCAACGCCAAGAGAGGCCTCCTCGCTCATCCATTCGACAGCAGCATTGCGTGAGCGAGCAGCAAAAGCAGGACTGAGTAACGAAGAGGTGCAAGCCATTTTGGATAACAATGTCACCTCAATCGCGCAGATGGGTTGTGCCATTTCGCCTCCAGGCGCATCACCTACCGAACAACAAGTCCGTGATTTCTATCAAAGTATTGCAGTCAACATGGGAACCATCACGCCCACAAAGCTTCTCATTTTCGAGGCCCATACACTGGTAGTGGCCAACATCAAGTCGGAAGTGGGACGCAAGGATGATGTCACAACACATTGTGTTTTGCCCTCAGCCGAGAGAGACAGGAGAATCCAGGACCAACAGAAGAGACTCACTGGACTCAGATTCAAAGGTGATGAAGAAGTCGCTTTCTCGGCTTACGATTTAGTCTTCACGCTTTTGGAAAAAGACACCCTGACCTACCTGCATCCAGAACGCTTCGTCACTAGACGCTTTGAGTTGTCACAGAAGAGGCCGTTGAAACAACTTGCTCTCGACAACGAGTCGCTCACCATCAAGGAACGACCTGCTGACCACACGTGTGCGACCAGAACAGAACTTGAGCTGGTTCAGGCACTGCGTCGTCGTGCCTTGGCATTCGACTTGGTAGGCATTGCCTCATACGAGATTATGAACTCGTACCATGCTGAACTTCTTAGTCACTTGCAAGAAGATGCACCGCCCGGATACTCCAACACGACAGTGGTGCAAGTTTTACGAGCAGACAGAGCCGCCTTTGTGCATTTAGCTGAAGTCATCACCTCCCTCAAAAGGGATGCCAATGGGGATCTCCCTTTGGAAGTGCATTTGCCTAAAGTTTTGGTTCGACCCAGTGTGAGCTTCCACTTGTTGCCTCTGGCAACGCATGTGCCCGCGAAGCCCGCACCAAAAGCAAATCCGAACAACCAGAACAAGCGCAAGCATGAAGACACCAAGCCTCCCGCAGGAAAGGACACATCTACTTCCAAAGGTCAAGGTGGTCGGAAAGGAAAAGGCAAGGGGAAATCCAAAACCAAACGTGGACGCGGTCCCACTGTTCCTCGAGACCTCGTCGGGAAGTCCTTGGAGACTCCAGATGGACATAGGATCTGTTGGCAGTACAACTTACCAACTGGGTGCACTGATGCCGCACCAGGCGGCCAATGCAGTAGGGGCGTCCATGTCTGCGCCGAGCCAGGGTGCCACAAGCCCCATGGCTTGCCAAGCCATTCATGACTACCACAGTCTGAACCCGGACCATTTGCATCTCTCGAAGCTAAGTTGTCAGCCAAATGCACCGGTAAGACATCGCATGAACTTTTTGCCATTGAGGTTTTTGCAGGAACTAGTCGCCTGCTGCACCTAAGTTCGCTTAATGCCGCCAAAGTTGCATCCGCAAATCAGCTTTATGAGATTACCCAAGATTTGTGCAGACTTTGTCATGCTTCTGGAGTCCTGTACACTATTGAAAACCCTGCGAGGAGTTTCATGTGGGACACCACACCCTTTGTCAAGTTCCTCCAGGAAGTGCCTCACTTTTGCACTTATTTTCATCACTGTATGTACGGTTCCTCCAGGCGTAAACATACCTGCTTAGTCCATAACATTAAAACTGTGTGTGACATGCAGCTCTTTTGTGACAATAGTCACCCGCACGAAGCATGGGGCCGAAGTGACACAGGTTGGGCAACGGCCCAAGAAACGGCCTATCCTTGGCCCCTCAGTCGCCGACTTGCTGCATTGATTGCCCTGCACCTCCAAAACCATGGAGTGCGATGTCCAACGCCAAGTTTTGCCAAACACGCCAGCCAACTTGATGGAATACGACAGCAGACGTTCATGCAGCACACGGCCACCGGCCTTCCTTGGGTTCCAGAGTTTTCACAAACGGCCCAAATCCCTGCAGCCGCCCCTGTCCCACACAATGCCAAACTTCTTACCATTCCTTTACTGGGGGATGCCGCGAGGGTAGGATATAAGACCATAGGCATTCTTAGAAGTCCACAGGAATTCATGGATGCTGCAATTGCCGCAGGACACCCTGGCCAAAGCCTTGACCAACTGCCCGAGCCTATGAAGAATGCAGTGTGGAGTTTATCACAGCCCGATCACCGCAAGAAGTAGCACAGCACAGGTCTGAAGTGCTGAGAAAGATGATTCACCGGTCTGCGCAGTTGGCCGACCATGAGGCCGCACTCAAAGGGGACATGTCAGGCAGACGCCGGACGATCCTCGAAAAGAAAAGACTGCTCCTTTTCAAGGAACTGTTGGTGGAAGCAGGTTCGAATGACGTGAACCTGGTGGAAGACATATGCAACGGCTTCGACCTGACAGGAAAGTTACCAGAATCCAACCAATTTGACAAAAAGTTCCGGCCAGCGGCACTCCCAACCGATCCCCTGCGTAGCATAGCCGACCGAGCCAGGTGTGCGCTTTTGTCAAATGTCCGGAGTTCAGGTGATGCCAAAGTTGATGCAGGCGTCCTGCAAGCCACCTTGAAAGAAAAAGAGATGGGCTTCCTTCATGGGCCTGTGGATGCGGCGTCAATTCCTCCAGGAGCCACGCTGACTCGCCGTTTTGGAGTGGCCCAAAAGGATAAAGTAAGACCCATAGATGACTATAAAGCTAGCCTGGTAAACTCCTCCGTAACCCAGGTTGAGGTGGTAACTTTACATGGTATAGACCATGTGGCTTGTCTCGGGTCCGCCCTCATGGCAGCAGCGCAGCGAAGACATGGGGCTACACAACTCGTTGCAAAGTGCTGGGATCTTGCAGCGGCATATAAACAGATACCGCTTTCTGACCATGCTTACAAAGCTGACTCCTACATAGTGATTTTTAACCACAACACCCGTAGTCCCGAAATATAAACAGGCCGTTCTTCCTTTTGGATCCATCGCTTCTGTCACTGCCTTCCTGAGATGCGCTCTAGGAATTTGGCAGGTAGGGAGCAACCTTTTGAAATTGGCCTGGACCTCTTATTTCGATGACTTTTTGAGCATCACACCCGAATGCCTGGACAGGCACACGGACCTGTGTGTGTCGACTCTCTTCCAGTTGCTGGGTTGGAGACTCTCAGAAGATAAACTAATGCCCTATGCACAGTGTTGCAAAGTCCTGGGGGTGGAAGTTGATTTGTGTCGAAGCCTTTCTGGGATCATGACCGTCAAAAACACCGAATCCCGAAAGACTGAGCTCCTAGCCTTCATAGCTGGCGTTTTGTCAAGTAGAGCGCTGTCCAGGGTAGAAGGGGAAAGATTGCGTGGGAGATTGCAGTTTGCTTCAAACCAGTTGTTCGGTAGGAGGTTCCGCAACTGTATGAAAGAGCTAAATGCCCACGTAAGCAGAGGTTTCCGCAAGATAACAGACGAGTTCGCAACGGCCTTGGAGCTCATGTCTGAACTTCCCGAGTCCAATTTACCGAGACCAGTGGGTGTGAACTTCACTGATTGGGTACATGTCTATGTAGACGCCTCTTTTGAGCCCGGGAAGTATTCAGGCCTACGGGGCCTTGTTTTGGATTCCAGCGGGCAATGCTTGGGTAGCTTCAGTGAAGAGGTCTCACCGGAGTTGGTTTCCAAAATCAAAAGAGAAGACCAACAGACTGTAATCTTTGAGCTTGAAGGGTTAGCAATTGCGGTGGCTCTGGAAGTTTTCAAAGAACACATCAAAGGGAAAAGATAGGTGGTATTCACTGACAACTCGGGCGCTCAGGCCTCCTTGATTAAGTGCAAATCCACTAACCACCACATGAACCTCATAGTGAGATCGATATGTCCCTTGGAAGAAAGTTTGGGTTTAGTGACTTGGATAGAGCGTGTTCCGTCCTTTTCCAACCCAGCCGACGAGCTGTCTAGAAAGAAGTTGCTGGAGTATGCTGGCGTACCAACTACGCCTGTTGACCTGCTTGAAAGGTGGGATGCATGTGTAACCGAAGAATGTGCAAAGCCGTCTCAAGACCAGGGGAGGAACGCGAGACGGATGTGATCTCAGAGCGAATACCCCATTGGTCAAAACAAGCAGCTGCGTGTGCTATGCTGTTGTTCATATTGTGGCATGTTCGCAGAGCATCTTGTCACCAAAATAAAATGTAACTCAACGTGTTGATGGAATCCTATTTTGAGTAAAGATGATGTTTTTGACACTATATCTTTATAGGGTCAAAGAACATGACACAATTTTGAAGTTTACGTGCTGAGTGACACACTCATGGGTCACGTGGTCAGTGGGCTCGAGTGAGCCCCACAACACAAGTTACTGAGTTTTTCGACCCAACCCTACTTCGTTTTCCCACCCTTGTACGTTTGCAACCAGCCTTATCATGTGATTAGGCTCTAGCCGGACAAGTGTCCCTCCGTTGCAACGTAGTTTTCTGTGCCATGTCCCAAGTTTCGCTTCAGCGACTCATGGCACCTCTAGTTCAAACTGAAAGACCGCAGGCCCGATGCTAGACTTAGTCTTAGACTGGAGGACCTGGTGGAGTCGCCGTTGGCCGGTCCACGAGTTGAATGCTAGACTTAGACTAGTACTCTGGAGGACCTAAGCCTGGTGGAGTCGGGGTGAGCCGGTCCACAGCAGGGTAGTTTGTTTGTGGTAATTAGAGGATCAAAACGTCTCCTTGAACAATGTCTTGGATGATACCCCGAGCGAACATCATCCTGTTCGCCTTTCAATCATCGAAAGTTTGGCCCACTTGCAGTCAGCTGTTCACCAACTTCAGTTCACAAAGTTGGTGCTGACTCTTTCGATTGTTCATGGCCTCCGGCAACACTTACGAATCCACCATTCCCTACCGGCCATTGACGATATTGACGACTCGTCAGATTCATAACCCTATCCACACCGTTCGGAACGCGAGACGGATGTGATCTCAGAGCGAATACCCCATTGGTCAAAACAAGCAGCTGCGTGTGCTATGCTGTTGTTCATATTGTGGCATGTTCGCACAGCATCTTGTCACCAAAATAAATAAATAAATAAATAAATATTATATATATATATGTGTGTGTGTGTTTCGTCTTCGTAATGTAAAACGAAGCAAGTGATGACGTTTTGCAGCAATTCGGCTTTCAGCTGTGCGGATGTTCAGCCACGGGCCGTCCTGTGGCTGTCCATTCTGCGCATCCTGGGGGCACTTGAGGAACTACTGCGTGGACCCGCAGAGATCACCGAGGTTTTTGGAGGTAGCCACTCTGCGTGTGCGCCTCCAGTACACCCAGCTAGTAGATCTAGCTGAAGGGTTTTGTCCAGCTTTCGAGCTCCCTGGGCAACCCTACGTTGGGGATCCTGGTCTTCCGCCAAGGACTGGGAATCCCGGAAAAGAGGGAGGCGAGGCATCAGCCCCTCCCGCCAGTGCCCCGCTTGAGGAGAGCGTGAGGGCCACTACACCAAAAGCCAAGCCAACACCTCCATGAGAAGCTTCTTTCGAGCCTAAGAGTAACCTTGCAGGGGACAGAGCATCAGAACTCCCGAGGAGAGGGGAGGCAACGTCGAGTAGCCACCGTCGAAAGCCCAGCACTTCAAGGCACCGAGATCACAAGAGAGGCCCATCTCCTGAGAAAGAGGAGAGTAACAGAAGAGGAGAAGAAGAAGAAGGTAAGTCAAAGGACAAAAGAAGGAGGTCGGCAAGTAGCAGTCGGAAGCAACAGAAAAGGTCCCGTAGAACAAGGAGCCGAGATCGGAGGAGATCAAGAAGTCGTCGCAGAACAGCCGCTAGAGAGCCCAGGACTCCTGAGAGAAGGGAGAGAGAGCCATCGACCCGAGTTAGAGCCAAAGAGGAGTTGGTGAGTTCAGAGGAGCGAGAAAGGGCAGATAGGCCTTCAGTTCCGGAGCCAGCCCATCCCCCCTCCCGAGGTGAAGGGAGCAAGGTCCCGAGCGGAGTGGGTGGACTGGGCCCATTAGAGCCCCCCGGCGTGAGCCTGAGGACCAGGGGTACGGCAACGAAGGCCAGTGGCCGAAAAGCAAAGGCGTGAAGAGACGAGAGAAAAACAGGGCTTTTCGTGAGGCCAATTACGCCAGGGACTGGTACCCTCGAGAATACCGCCGCTAGGTGGTAGATGCCCCCAAAGGTGAGAAGGCCGGCCGCAGTCGTCACTCGGTCTTGGGTAGATCCAAAGGGTGACCCAGGCTGGATTGGGGCCAGTGAAGTCAAGCTAGAGGAGTTGGAGGTTGGCTGTAGCCTGGTACTGGGAAGGGGCCTCCCTCGTGTGTGGGGCATTTCAAGGAGCGCAGATTGAGGGCACTGGACGCTATTTGAAGCTGAAGGCAACAGGCACCAGGAGTGAGGCTCTCTTGAAGTACCTGAGCGGTTCAAGGACCAGAGAACTGGTCGTCCATTTGTGCCCGGATCCCTGTGACTCCCGAACATGGAGGGACGACCTGGTTCATGCCACGAGGCTTTACAAAGTGGGTGTGAACAGAGATCCCTGGATGGACAACTTGGGAGAAGTGAGGGCCGCTGTAGAGGACCAGGAGGACGCCAACCAGGAGTTGCGAAGAGAAGCGGAGCTGGCGCATCAGGAGCTCAAAGAAAGAGAAGCAAGGAAGATGAAGGAGGACGAGACAAAAGAAGAAAACAAGGCGAAAAAGAAGAAGAGGAGATCAGAGAGGAGGCTGAAAGCATCAGATGGAAAGAAAGATTTGGCGGTGGTCTTTGGAGGGACGGGCTTGGACCCGAATCCCACGGTGAGAAAGGTGGCCGTGCGCACCGCGAAGAAGTCAGAAAAAAGACAAGGAAGAAAAAGAAAAAGACATCCAGCAGCAAGGAGAGTTCCACCGGGACGAGTTCGAGCTTGTCAAGCGAGGAGGTCATCGACATGGAGCTCTTCGAGGGCCAAAGGGAGTCGCAAAGGCTTTGGAAGAAGACTCCCGGGACCCTACCTTGTTGTGGAGGCTCAACAAAGCCTGCTGACTCGGTTGGGGTTTCAACCGGATGTGAGTTCAGCAGCTTTGCCTCCAATCATGGTGCAATATTATCGAGCTCATCTACAACCTGTGATGAGCCCGGCTCTGTCCAGGGAATCTTATCATTGGGCGGTACTGATGGACCTACTACTTCAAGGAGAAGTTGCTCGTGGAGTCGACCTGGCAGCGCAAAGACTGAAGAGTTTGGAAAGCTACGCCAAAGGAGTAGCTTTGGACATCAGCCGGAACTTGGAACTCTTGCCCCCGGAGAGATCCTTGTTGGCGTCGGCAACAGAGACACAGCTGGCCTCCAAGCTGTCGAGCGAAGAGATGAAGTTGCAGCAGAAGACAAGGTATCCCTCAGGGGGAAAAGGAGGAGAAGCTTCCTCGGCGTATCCCGGGGGAAGAAGGGCAAGAGCAAAGGCGACGGAAAGAAGGGCAAAGGAGACTACAAGGGGCCGCAAAAGGGAAAAGAAGAGGAGAAGGAAAAGGCGAGCTGAAGTGTATGAGATTGACGGGGCGCTTCAAAAGAGAGGAGAAAGCTTCGAGAGAGGAGTTCGCAGAAGGCTTGGTTGAGGATCCAATGAGGGGAGCGCTTAGCGGCATTGGCTCCCGAGATTGGAAAGACAGAGTAGACAATGAGGGCCTCGAAGCAGGTCGCACAGGTTTCACTGCAGATGGACTTGGAGCGTGCCTTCCGAAAGGTGGCTTTGAGACCTTAATTCAGGCATTTGAGTCCTTTGAAGGATTGCTGGGGTGGGCTTGGGATGCATTACGAAAGATTAGAAGAGGTATGCGCGAGCAGTCGACCATGGCAAGGGGAGCCTTCAATTTGCCTAAGGCTAAAGATGATATCTTTCCGCTGCCGGTATCCCAAGCTGAGCCCCTTGCACTACGATGCACTGTCAGTGCTCTGAATGACCTTTCAGGGTATGGACCGAATGTGGCTGAGCCTGACTTGACAGCGTTTTGACATTTGGGGTTCTACATGTCCGTCGGTTTCTTTTTCACAGTTGTTCAGTAGCAAGACTTTGGATTATTCTGGTGAAGAGGTGAAGGTAGCACAGAGGTTGAAGTGGTCAGCCGTTTCCCCCTCCTTACTTGATGGGGTGGGACAATTGCCACTTGAGGACTTCTGCCGGTTGGGAACTCTTCACTTCATCCAGAACTTCACGGACCATCTCCTCCCAGAAGATGCCATCGAGGTGCCTCGACCACCGTCTGTTATGGTGGAGCCTGGGTCTTGGGAAGAGTTGTCTAAGGGCCTGGTTTCAAAGAACATCTGTGAGATTTGGCCGGTGAAGAGATTGTTTCACATCAAGGGCGAGCCTTTGCTTAATGGATTATTTGCAGTCGGTAAAGGAGAATATGTTGGGGCAGAGGGGAGACAGAGATTAATAATGAACTTGACGCCCCTTAACTCGATAAGTCAGAGCCTGATGGGAGACGTAGGCACTCTCCCGGGCCTAGCTGGCTTCTCGGGCTTTTTGTTGGAAGAAGGCCAGGTCGCTTTGCTGTCAAGTTAAGACATTAGATGTTTTTTCTATTTGTTTGCCGTTCCGGGGGCATGGCAACCGTTTTTGGGATTCACCGTGACGTGCCCAATTCCGTTGTGCCTCCCCACCTGGCTGGTCAGCGCTGTGTCTTGGTGTCGCGCGTTTTACCAATGGGATACCTCAACTCCGTGTCCATTGCACAGCATATCCATAGGAACATTGTGAGATGGAGTGCTGAAGGTATGGAGCCTCCCGTGGGAGGGGAGGGGGAGTTGAGGAAGGACAAGGGCATGAGCAGTACAGCATCTTTGTATCGATCAAGTGGAGAGATGGGACAAGCAAACGGCAGATCTCATTCAAGGTACACCCTCCGCACAGGTGTTGAAATTGAGGCAGGACTATGTCTCAATGGGGCTGCCAAGACACCCGAAGAAGTCTGTTGAGAGAGAGTACAAGGCGCAGGTGCAAGGTGCTCTTTTCGATGGTTTGCAGGGGTTTGCTATGCCAAAGGTTGCAAAAGTGTGGCAGTACGCCCTCTTGGCAGCTGAGCTGTTGAAACGAGGGCAGGCTTCACTGAAAGAACTCCAGGTTGTGTGCGGAGGCTTCGTTTACATGGCCATGTTTCGTCGTCCGTTACTGTGCAGTTTGAATGAAGTCTGGGTGTTCATGCAACGTTATGGTAGGGGAGATGGTCTGAAGAGTCTCCTGCCGAAAGTTCAAGCGGAACTGGCCCGTTTCATTCTCTTGTTGCCCCTGGCCCAAATGGAGTTTCGAGCTACTTTGTGTGACCAAGTCACTTGTAGTGACGCCTCTTTGTTAGGTGGGGGCATCTGTGTGACTACAGGATTGACTGAGTACGGTGTGGCCGCCTCGAACTCTGCGGTGCGCGGAGATGTGCCGGAGGCTCATGGTCTTCAGCAGGTGCTCACAGTGGGCCTCTTTGATGGTATCGGGGCAATACGAGTAGTTGCCTGTAGCCGGCCATGTGAGTGTGGAAATAGACCCTCGGGTCGGCGTGTGGTGGAGAGCTGGTTATCAGGGACACGGTTCTTTGAAGATATCAGGAACTTTGGCCGCACCGAGATTCAGGGGATCGCTTTGGCCTTTAGCAATGTGGGGCTGGTCATTGTCATTATTGGGGCAGGTCCGCCCTGCCAAGGTGTGAGCGGCCTTAATGCAGACAAGAAGGGAGCATTGAGAGACTCCCGGAGTTGTTTGTTTCAGGAGGTCCCTCGGATTGAGCAGACTTTCAAGGAGCTGATGCCCTGGGCCCAAATTCACCGGTTGATGGAGTCGGTGGCATCTATGTCACAGGAAGACAGGGAAGTCATGAGTGAAGGTGTGGATGGCTTACCTTTCCCCATTGACTCTTTTGGATTGAGCCTGTGCCATCGGCCTAGATTGTACTGGCCTACTTGGGAGCTCAGGTCGGAAATTGACGCGTTGGTGACACAGCCTCCCGCCGGTGTCGAGTGGTCGCAATTGGGGGAGGTAGCATTCTTTGGGGTTCCCGACCAGAAGGCCTTCCTTGAGCCAGGATGGGAGTTCGCTGACAATTGGGGGTTACCTACGTTTACAACTTCCCAGCCTCGGACCAGCCCAGGGCGCCGTCCTGCGGGGGTGGCAGGTTGCCAACCTCATGAGTTGGAGATGTGGAAAGCGGACAAGTATCGCTTCCCGCCCTATCAATACCGCGATGGTGCCGGACTGGTGAACAAGAAGGGTAGTTGGCGGAGGCCTTCGGTGGCAGAGAGTGAGGCTTTGATGGGGTTTCCTATTGGGTACACTTCGCCTTGTGTACCAAAATCTGAGCAAAAGGGGGAGGACTATGACGACTCCCAGTTATCGCTCATAGGAAATTCGTGGCAGGTGGGAGTGATCATTTGGTTGCTCTCGCAGCTGTGTTTCCCGCTGAGCTTCTGTGGAAAGCTTACTTGCACGGACATCATCAAGCTCCTCACTCCCGGTCAAGGGAGCCAGCTTCAGACTTTGCTGTTGAGGCCACTTATGCAACGGTTAGGTCAAATCCGTGAAATCTCATCCCAACTGGTGAAGAAGATGCTTGGAATCATCTCAATGAAGGGTGAAGACTTGTTGCTTCAAGGGAGTTCTGAGCTCCTGGTGAAGCACCACAGGTTGCGTGCCTCCATACCAGCAAAACTGTGGCGGTGGAAAACGGTTGCAGGTTGGCAATGGAAGTCGACCAATGATCACATTAATATCCTTGAGTTACGTGCTATTCTCACAACCATCCGTTGGTGGGTGAAACGCAAAAGGTGTACATCGTCTAGGTTCCTACACTTGACTGATAGCCTTGTGTGTCTTCATTCACTGTGCCGAAGCAGAACTTCCAGCAGGTGGCTGAGGAGGACCCTCATTCGGATCAACGCGCTCCTGTTAGTTGCCGACCTTCACCCTGTGTGGGGTTATATACACATAAAGCAAAACCCCGCCGACCGGCTGAGCCGGCGGCCCTTCCGACGAAAATGGGAAAAGTAAAGAAGATCTTGGAAGGTCGAACTAAGGAGGAGCGTGTAAAGGTGAGAAAACAGCTTGGAAAACTCAAGGATTTAACTGTGCAACCCAAAACTCGAGTTCGCTACGAACGAGCCCGTCAGCAGTTCTATCAGTTCCTCTCTTCCAATGGCTTGGAGGTTCCAAGGCAGACCCATGGGTTGGACCTGGTGCTGGGTGATTATCTAGAACATCTCTGGAGCACTGGGGAAGGTCGGGGCAAAGCAGCTGACACTCTTGCGGCTGTGCAAGATCTCCAGCCCCATACCAAAGGCCATTTGGCCTTGTCTTGGAGACTTCTTAAGACTTGGCAGGTAAATGAAATCCCATGCAGAGCTCCTCCACTCCCCGAGATCTGTGTTCAAGCCATGGTGGGCTGGGCGATCTTTAAGGAGGAGTTTGCCTTCGGCTTATCTCTGCTACTGGGATTTTATGGTCTTCTGCGGACTGGTGAGCTGTTAGACGTCAAAGCTAACCATGTCTATATTGAATCACCCAAGAAACCAGCAGTTGTCTCCCTAGGTTTAACCAAGGGGGGCAAACGTATGGGGGCCGCTGAAAGCGTCTCTGTGTCGGTTGAAATTGTTTTAACCTGGGTAAAAAAATTGGAAACGGCAAGTAGCTCGTGGAAAGGGCCTTTGTGATATCCCCTCCAGATGGAGAGCCATGTTTGTTCAGTGCCTCTCGGCCTTGGGCTTATCCGACTTTAACTTCAGGCCGTGCAGCTTCAGAAGGGGCGGGGAAATTCACCGGTTCTCAAAACATGGGAGCCTAGATCGTGTGATAGTGTTGGGACGTTGGCAAGCCCAACGCACGGCTAGAGTCTATATTAATGAAGGTTTGGCTGTCATGGCTGAAATGGCCATCCCAATTGGGCACAGTTGAAGCCCTACCTAGCCATCTTCCGAAATGGTTCATCCTCACCCCGATTTGCTTGAGCGCTCTGTGAGCAGTAAAGGGGGGACGTGGAAGGGAGTTCCGTTTTTATTTTTCTGTGATGATTTCTACCTGAGCTCAGGTTCCCACTGGTGTGGCAGGGGGATTGATGGGGGTATTGTCTGTGTTTTCCTGGTGTGGCGGAAAACCAGTCAATGCTGAGCCCTAACAAACCCTGGAAGAAGGGAATAGTCCGGTGAAGGGCTACTTTGGTATTTTGTCAACCCCCTGGTGAAAGGGTGTTGGCAATTTTGTTTGTATTTTCCTGTTTGATTTGTTTAATTTTATGACAAACCACTGCTCTGCGCAAAAGAGTTTTAACGCAGCTGAGTTTTTATGTTTCGTCTTCGTAATGTAAAACGAAGCAAGTGATGACGTTTTGCAGCAATTCGGCTTTCAGCTGCCGCCCCCCGCTCCCGCTTAGGGGAGTAAGGGGAGAAGGGAGTTCAGTTTTTGTTTTTCTGTGATGATTTCTACCTGAGCTCAGGTTCCCACTGGTGTGGCAGGGGGATCTGGGGGGTAAGATTGATGGGGGTATTGTCTGTGTTTTCCTGGTGTGGCGGAAGACCAGTCAATGCTAAGCCCTAACAAACCCTGGAAGAAGGGAATAGTCCGGTGAAGGGCTACTTT